ATCTTGAAATTTCAGTCACAACCATTTGAAAGCATCACAAATCCAGTGGCGTCGTCAAATTTCATATAAAAAAATCGCTAGTATGTTTTTTGGATTTTTGACCTTGAAAAAAATTCGAAGTAGGCCTTGAAAATTTTATTTATATTTCGACTTCACAGCACTCTAATAGAACTATTGACGCTCTATCTATTGAAAAAAAAAACTTCTGAATCGGATAATAAATAACAGTTTTAGAGAGGTGGCCCGCTTTCAAATGGGTCACTCTGTATATAATAGTATATATAATAAATATTTCGTTTATATAGGGAGTGAGAAAGTAGAGATTCAAATAACAGGGTGATAATTGAAAATACTTCTGAATACTACTTACTCACATATATACACAATCCATCGCTTTAAAAACATTTCACTAACTTTCTTCGAAAGCTTCTGATGATTCCTCTTCCATATTTTCTGTTTCACTATCACTGTCGTCATTTAAATCAATAACGAGTTTATTTCCACCATTAATATTGAAGTGTCCAATCTCCATATAGTCTTTTTCAACTAAAATCACTTTTTCAACCCTTTTCTGGCAGTCTTCTTCGATAATTTCAGATACTTCTTTAATTAGCTCTATATAACCTTATAATTTTGGATGTTTGGATGCTTTGTTTCAATTTTCCCCAAATCAACTCGATGGGATTCAAAACAAAACAATAGAGGGGAAGTCTCAGTATGGTGTGTCCATACTTTTCAGCAATATTCTCAAGGGCATACACTTTTTCAAATGTTTTTGTCTGTTAAACTTCAAGTAGTTGGTTTTTGGTATAGTTATTTTCAAAATACAAATTGTTATCCATCAAAAAACTTTGTATTTCATCTTTCCTCGAATTTTTATTCGGTACTTTGATGAGGTGTTATCACACTCGTTATTACCATTAGTACTTGTCCAAGGACGCCACATTGAATTTCAACACTCAAATCGCGATCAGTTCCGGAACTGAACATTGACAACACGACTCTTATAACCATCCTCGCATTCTATTCGTCACCGTAACATGACTACAAATTCAATTATATAACTCTCTTCAGCTAATCTTAAAACTCGGTTAGTAAAAATCAACCGATTCGAACCGCCAAGTCTGTAGTCCACGTGGACTAGTTGGCATCGGCTTTATTTCTTTGTATTGCTTATTTTGGCTAGTGAGATCGCCGACAGCTTTAACTATGCACAACACCAGTTACTTCGACTATACATTAAACTAATCTATAATGAGCTTGATATTCTTCGGTCTAAATTTGATTTAAAAACACTTCTGAATGTAGAAAATATAAACTCTCGTCAAAAACAGTCTTTTGTTCTCTTTTCCTCCGTCTTTCACCCCATTGATCTCACTTTTTATTTCCTTTTTTTTCCATTCTCGACCTTTCTCTTTTGCTCAGTTTTTCAATGTGTACGTTCAGTTATATGTCTTTGGTTCCTTATAATCATTTCTCCTTTTCTAGACATCTGTCTAGTGAAAATCACACAATAAAGTGTTTTTAGAATACATCGATTCATCAGTTAAGCACCCCTTTCTTTTTCAGTATATCAATCGAGCATGCGAAAAACAACTTGGCCTACGGCAGGAAGACGCTTTAGGAAAAACCCTTCACGACCAGATCATAAACGACTATATGCAGATCAGCTTGATGGGATCTTATTTGCTCAGAGGCAAAGAATGGAGCGGACACATGACTCTTAAACGGAAATCGTTAGATAGTATAACGACCACTTGTAAAGCGGCGTCTTTCTGCTGTTACGGAAGGTAAGCTGCAAACCAACTCTCACAAAGGATGGAATACCACAAGGTACCGTACTAGGACCACTTTGATCAATCGTCTATATAATATATTATCGTGAATATAATGGGTAGAATGGAATTGGCACTTTTTTTTCAGGATGCCAACACATTTCATCCTCGTCTTTGATGTGGGGTATACGGAGACGACGAATGTTCTAGCTCAATCAAGAGGCAGCATTCATTCTATTCGGAGGGGATCGACAGACGTCAGGAGCGTCGGTAGCGACTATTTGAGGCGGACGTCGCTGGCCAAGTTGAATTCGTTGCCGATAGAAGGGCCGATAACAAAAGTAAATGCAAGGCTTCTTCCCTATTTATGATTTTTTATGACTAGTTCCCCGTCGTTTTCAGGTAATAAGTCTGATAGATCAAGCCAGAGAAGGTGCCAATCAGAACCCCCAAATAATCCAATTACTGGACAGAGTCGAAGATATCCTGAAGAGTTGCGAATTGTACTCTACGCACGTGAAAGAGGACTTTCGGATGAAGCTCGACGAGCCGGTGGTTTCAGATCTGATCACGGCGCTGCTATCGGTAATATCCGTTACTCAGTTATATGTATGACCTCTTTTCAAACAATGATTTAGATTCCGTAAATTTTTCACAGAAAACACCTCAACCGACGCTGTCAGCGTCGTCGAGGAGAAGCAGTAACGATTCTTCGGTCTTCAGGCCGGCCAGGCCGGGAATACATAAGGTAAGATCGATCGCCAACTGTAATTTACGACTTCTTTTCATTCATAGCTTCCACTGTATCTAACATGGTTTCTTTCAATGATTCATTCACTTTCGGGAACATAAACCAATCACACGGAGCCAGATCCAGGTGGTGTTTTTCCTCAGCAATGGTGGCTCACGGAGAATGACTAGAATCTCAAGTCAATATTCTTCATTCACTGTTGCAGGAACCAAATTTGTATATATAGCAGGGGAGCCCTCGATGCAAAAGGGGGATTTACTCGAGCGTCATTGAGACATATTAGGTTGCAAAGCTTATCATCTAAGCTTTGCAACCTGAAATGTTATATAATATATACCTTTTTATCGGTGGCGGAAGCGGCTATAGATTTTTAAATATGTAAAAAAATACTATTGCATGAAAATACTCGAGTGCGTCAGATAGTGATAGCATCAATGTCAATGTTGGTATGTTAATCTGATCGTTTGCATGATGTGGGTGGTTGAACGTAAGGGTTAAAAGTGATAAGAAAAAATAATTAATCGAGCGTGTCAGATTTTCTAAGGGGTGTTAAGTGCAACAAAAAAAGCTCTCATTCAATAATCCGACGGTTTCGATTTGACGCAAACTTGCGCCCATATTATAATGTGCAAAAAAAATCGCCATTTTGAAATACTCAAGCGCGTCAGATTAAGATATATATGGTTCGTCTTTATGTTTTAGGCGTGCCGTCTCATAATCTGACGATTATGTAGAGAGATTCGTTTAATCTGACAAAAACAATATTTTTTTTTCCATTTTTTAAAAATTTATTGAACTTAAATTATCGAACAGCTTTAAGAAGAATACTTGTATTTATAAGAAAATAATTTTTTAACATGCTCAAATACATTTAATTTTTTATAATCAATTGAATAATTAATGAAGAAAAAAGAAATGAAACTTTCTATGTTTTTACCACTTTCATTTGTAACTAACGTCACTGCAGTTTCGACCTTGTTTGAAAATGTCCTTATATATTGTATAAGTTTGAAAATGTCCTTATATGTTGTATAAGTGTATAAGTATAAATGTCCTGCAGTAACTGCAGTAACGTTAGTTACAAATAAAAGTGGTAAAAACATAGAAAGTTTCATTTCTCTTTTCTTCATTACGATTTCCTAACACGTACTAACGGCTACATCCATCAATTAATTGATTAATTAATCATCTTCATCTTCATCACAAACGAGTCTCTGTGATCAGCTGTGATGGCGTCATGGCAACAGAATTCAAAGTGGGGACGGAGTGAGAGAGTAATAGATATAGAAAAAGTGAACAGGAAATAGCTGCAGGCATTAAACTTTATCGACAAATTTTTGTTATTTCGGCTTGCGGAAATCGTCAGATTATATATTTGTCGTTATCCTTGAATTATTTCGTTCAAAATAAAAAAAAAATTGCTACGCTCGAGAATGTCGAAATAATGTTATTTTTTTACAACTTTGCTGCCCCCCCCTTTCTCTACGTCACTCTCAAATTGTCAGATTACTGGAATATACACTTTTTAGCAGGTAATTAACTCACCCTACCTTAATCTGACGCGCTCGAGAATTTCAGATGATCAATTTTTTTTTTTCTAATCTGATCCTTTATCCCCCACAGGCGGCCTTATATATGGGGCTCATATTTGGTGGAGGTATTTAACCGGGTACAAGGTATCCCCCTGTAAATTAATCTACCGCGCTTTGGTAAATCCCGAAATCCCCGCTTGGGCTCCCCTATTAATAGAATTGCATGTGTGTCGAAAAAAAACAAGCGTCTTTCTTTGAAACATATATACCACATTCATTCATACCCATATACTCCCTGTAAGAGACAATAGGTATGTGATGCGGATTCTCCGAGTTCCAATTCTTCTTCTTTTCAATTCAATGGCCTCAGCAACTAAGACTATCCGGTCAGTTGATAACGCGAGTTTCCGTTGAAATTTCATTTCGACGTTAAAACGTCTACCATTTTATCATGAGCGGCAGATATACATTACGACACGAACTAATGCTGTGGCCCAACTGAGTGAGTTAGTGTCGTCCAACAGGATGGAATGTGGAAGGGGGATGGCGGGCGTCTCGACAATATGGCGTTTGACTCTGAGGCTCGTAACGTTTGTCTCACAGAAAACCAGTCCAGTTATATTCCACCTGCACCCCATACACACCCACCCCTAAATAACTTAACGCAGAAAGATCTCACCTAAATGTCTATGATGACAATCTGTTTCAATTGAAACTCTAATAAACATTATCTTCAAAACATCGATTCAGAATTCTATCAATATTATTCTCGATCGAATAACGTTGACGTTTGTTGTTCCTAATAGATTAGCACTTAATATATAAGAATGATTTTCGGTTTATAAAGCGCACCAACAAATTAAAAAAGATCAATTCGTTTACGAGGAATGTTATTTAATTTGGAAAATTGGAAAACAGTCATGTAATTGATTTTATGAATTAGTTGAAAACTCCAGAATAATTTTGGATGGTTGCTAGCTTCGATAGAATGGCACCTAACTTTTGGCGCCCGGGTTTAGAGGTCATGACTAGTCACAAAAAACTATTAAAATGGCCCTCCTGGTGAGAAAGTGAAGAAGTAATGCGTGTTGGTAACTGTCGATCATTAAAAAACACTCTGTAACACTTTTTGCCATTCCTCTGCTTCCAGAAACATATTTTTCTCAAGTCTGATATCTTTACTTAACTGATATATTTTTATCATAACCTAATGAGTGATTTGTGTTCGTATCATTTGAATCCTTCATTTTTCATCATAAAATGGTTTAAATTTACAATTTTTACAGGCTCCTGCAGCGTTGAAGGAGCTCTTAGAACACTCTTTGTCATGGGACTTCGACATATTCAGGCTGGAAGACTTGACGAAGAAAAGGCCGCTGACGCAGCTCGGTATGTCTCTCTTCAACCATTTCGAGGTGGCGAGCGTGCTGAATTGCGACGAGAAGACCCTCTTCAACTGGTTGACGGTCATTGAGGCCAACTACCACATGGAAAACTCATACCACAACTCCACGCACGCGGCCGATGTTATGCAAGTGAGTATTATTGTCCGTCGGGTATCTACAAAATGCTATAACTCAAACAACTCAAAATTCTGTCAACAGTTACTGGTTTCATCATACCTATTAGTCACCCACATGATCATTCATTATATCTCATTACACATTCATATGATCCCTCACAGAACCTTCAGCTGTCAATTTCCATGATTCTCCAATTAACTAGCAGCATTGTATCCTCTTTCGTAATTTTTTTCGTATTCAACTTCTTCTCTTTTCTACCTTATTCGATTTCTTTTATCCAAGATTCTCATGGTAATTTTCGTGCAAGCTGAATATTAACGAGGTCATCACTTTGGACGAGATGTATTGCGAGACAAACTAGTCGTTTGCCGTAAATCGTGGGTATCATATGATGCTTCCAACAGAGTATCTTGTAAATTATATTCATTATACATAGGTACATTCACCAAACACTTTTTTTGCGTAGACAAAGTGATACTTTCATAAACGTCATTCACAGTTTTTGTAAATGACGTATTTCTCTGAAGAATTTCTTCACAGAAACAGCAAAATTGCACAACTTAATTTTATTCAGTACTGAAGAACTCGAAACTTAAAAGCAGTGACAAAACAAGCATTACAACACTATCCAACACAACGCTAATAAAAAATTGTTGGATGACCATAAAACCATAGATATTTTCCCACAGATGTTGAACCATCCTGATATTTAATTCCAAAGTGCAAAAATCTAACACTTGCCATCGACTCATGAGTTCTGACGTCACTAAATTCGAACACGTGAATACAGTTGTCTGTTTGGATTTGAAAAATATCCCTACTTTGTGTGTTCCTACTTTCTTATTGAGATTTTTGGTGTTCTGTTTCAGGCGACAGCTGGATTCTTGGATAAAGAGAGGATGAAGTCCATAATGGAGCCTCTAGACGAAGCTACGAGTTTGATAGCCGCAGCAGCCCATGATTTAGACCATCCTGGGAAGTCGAGCGCCTTCCTATCGAATTCGGACAATCCGTTGGCCATTCTTTACAATGACGTCACCGTCTTGGAGTCTCACCATGCTGCGCTAACGTTCAAGCTCACGCTAGGTAAGAATTACAAGGAGAAGTTCAAGTATTTTTTTAGACCCACAGACTTGATAACTTTGTTTGTAACTGTACAAATCATTATTCATATACACTGGTGTAGCGACTCATACTTATAGAATCGTCATGCATATTTAATTTCAACTCGAAGCACATTTTACGAATGTATGAAATGAGAGTTAACTAACTTCCTTTGATGATGCATGTATGCATGATTGCTTGTGCCATTTTGTCGGGAGTAGAGATTCATCAACTTTTTAGAACCTTGGTTGTTTTTTCATTGCATATACCCTAATGACAACTCGAATTTTATCTTCGTTAGAGTCCTTAATAGAATCCATTGCCATTTACTTTAACATTAGGATATTGTTTTCTGAAATTATAGCTTCAGGTAGAATGTTTGCATTTTATAGGTTATTTAGAATAACATCAAAATTGGTATAATAAAATCGAACGTTGAATAACTTAATGGATGTCGGAACGTAATCACGACGGTACAGCATCTGGTTTTCGTATAGATCATTTTAAATTGGTCATTTTGGACAAAGTGACATGTCGAAAAAGTGACTTTCAAATGTTATTCAACATGCAACTAATTGGTAGTGTCGACTATTAATCTCGAGAGCACACTTGTTTTTAATCTGTATTTTCCTTTCTCTATAAAGTTGGTATTTTCATATTGTGAAGTGTTTGAATGAAACCTATGATATTTCAGATGATTTAATATCCTACATGGATTTCATTAATTTCAAATGCATGATTTCCTTTTTAATGATTGCTGAATGAAATAATATCGGTGAATTTTAATTTCTTGTTTCTGGAAATACTCAGGTGAAAAATCTATGGAACAATTGTTTGTCATTTGCCAAATATATTGCAACGAACTATCACCTGCCACTTAAGTTGAGTATTCTTTGATTGCCGCAAATGTAAAGTGTCTTGTCTTCCTTTTTCACTTGTGGAAGAATAGTATGCTACATGAAAGTATGTTTTTCGCGTATTTTAACAAGTACACACATGTGTTCTTCCGTTAACCTTATTGTAGCGCCGGGTGACGTCACACCGTTGTTGGACTTGACAGTGGCGGTTCATCTGCTCGATCGTCTTGTTATATTGACCATGAGCGTGATATTACGTCATTCAGATATGCGTATGCTCATATTCTTTTCTGTTTTATCAATTTTTATACCTTTTTTGTCAACCTTCGAGAGAACACGAAGTCCTTGCATACACTCTGACGAAGAATATCTTAGTTGTGTGCAAGATCAGTCTCAGTCGTTCCGAATATAATGTCAATGTTTTCTCTAAGCAACAGCAGTTGACAGACATCATTCACAAACTTTGCACAATCGGTCATGAGTTCATTGCATTGCTGTTAAGTTAATCCTCAAAGAGTAAAAAATACACTAGTATATACAAAACATTCAGATCATGATTTTTACTGATCACCAATGAGTAAACTGTTACTTTTTCAGGTGACGAAAGAATAAACATTTTCAAAAACTTGGACAGAGAGACGTATAAGATAGCTCGATCGAATGTTATAGATATGATTTTAGCAACTGAAATGACAAAACATTTCGAACATCTGGCCAAATTCGTCAACGTCTTCTGCTCGAAATCGTCTTCTTCAGATCAGGAGGTAAGTAAAATATGAAAATACGCTTTGAAATCTATATTTTCTGAGATACTCTCCTCCTCCTTAGCTAGTCCAACATTATATTTCAGGTAACCTAATGAAAAAACTGCATTCATTGTGATATTTATTTTTGTGGTAGAGATTTTTAGAATATTTTGCTGATACTAAATACGATCAATTTCCTCTGAGATTCATTTTTTAACTGAAACAAGACACATTTCATTAGAATGCAAAGTTTGCAAATACATTTCAACATGACTTCCTTTTAGCCATAAAAGGAAGAACTTTTTTATAATATAAAAACTCTAGAGCTTCGGAAGAGATCCCCTTGTACATCATGAGGTATTTCAAGTTAGAATGGCTCTGAAAATTAATATTGAATGTTTGAGTCACATTAAACTTTATCATATTTGTTTAGTCAAAATTCAGACATGACCTGTATATATAGATACCTACTCATATGAATTTTTGTACACTAAGAAAGCTTGCTTTGAAACATTTAAAACATTATCAGTGACAAACAAGATTAGTATCATCAGCTGAGTTATTTCATGGAGTCTAGTAAATAATTCATATAAGCTATGAATGAGGTGAGCCCCAGAATTGAACTTTGAGGTACTCTAATATCAATGGGTCTCAAATCTGAAACGAAATTGTTATATTATGCGACACCCCTATTTACCGTATCTTTCTAATTTACATGAGAGGATGTCTCATTCACTTAATCAAATGATTTAGAGGAATGTGTAAAATAAACCTTTCAGCTGTGAGTTATTTGTCAAGTGTTTTTAAAACTACATGTGTCGCTTAGGCAAACCTTCAATGATGTTGATGTTGCTGTACAATAAGGCTTATCCAATCCAATTAATTTTTATTCCATTTCCTAAATGGAGCGACGTCTTCCAAATGAGCCAATTTCACGGTACTTAATTTTCTGTATGTTTTCCAGAGCGACATAAATACGGATTTTGCGCCGCTCTCTCTCCCCGAAAACGTAACGCTCGTCAAGAGGATGATGATCAAGTGTTCCGACGTTTCGAACCCCACCCGCCCCCTGAGGCTGTGCGTAGAGTGGGCGAGGCGGATAACGGAGGAATACTTCCATCAAACGGACGAAGAAAAAACAAAAGGCCTGCCAGTCGTCATGCCCATGTTCGACAGATACACATGCTCGATACCCAAGTCGCAGATCGGTTTCGTCGATTATATCATCAACGATATGTTTGAAGCGTGGAACGGTAAGAGTCTTTGCAGACGATTTTATTTTTTATATGTGATTGGGAGTGTAAAGTTTGCATGTGAAAATTTGCGAATATGGCGCCCAACGTGGGACCAAATATAATATTTGTTTCTGAATACTACGTGTACTAGGTACTTATTATTAGTGTTACGGTTTATCATAATACAATTATTATTTATTTAGTAGTCTAAAATCGAAAGTTCATCAAGATGGATGTGAAAAACATTATTTATGTGTTGTGGGGTAATTTGACACTTGATTTGATTTTCCATTTCAGCATTCATCGATATGCCGGAACTGTTGACTTACATGAGGCAGAACTATATTCGGTGGAAGGAATTGGACGAACAAGGTCATACAACATTGGCGGATATACAGAAGTTGCAGAGCACTCCTCTAATGTCTCCCATGTTTCCCCCGAAACCATCTTCCAAGTCTGACTGATCAAAGTTTACCCGTAAGTATCTTGCTGTAGATGATGTTCCGGATGAGAACGTAGTTTTGTGAAATTTGATTTTGCATCTCGAACTTCTATCCCCAAAGTTGAAATATTCTGTATCCCTTTTCCGTTGAAATGTTCTCAATCACAGTAGATCTTTTCCCGAGCTCTCGTCGTTACGGTGTAGTCATGTGTAAGGATGAGCGACATTTGGTTGTATGAAACACACATGCACATTCAGCAACAAGAGCCAGACAAAAACATGAGGACTACAAAGGTATGTTCATGGTAATGAATCCACATGTGTGTAATTCAAAGTGTAGCCCATCTTCGCACTTGACTACACAGTACTAATGAGGGCCAACCAGCTTGAACTATATATCTACTTTATGGTTATTTGAGTGCTTTGTCTTGACATGCGCTTTGGTTTTTCTCTATACTAATTATTTTGGGAATTCCGTAAGTCCTCTCAATTTTTTTTTAATTCAGGATGATACTTTGAAGTATAGTGAAATTTGTTTCTTCTGAAAAATTCCATTTTTACATCATACTTGAATCGAATTATGTTCATTTCTATTTTTTCTCAAAAAAAAATAGAGCGGAGATCAGCTCCAATCCAAATGATTTTCAGTAGTGGATTTCACATGAGTTTAACACTTACCAGTGAACATTTCTTTTCGCGCTACCGTGGGTAGTTGTTAAATGGGCTTTTAATTACGGAAATCTCGGAGAATCGTAATCAAAATGGATCCTTCGTTGAAAGCTGATGATTAGAATATTTTTTTTGTATTAATCGAACAGGAGCAATTGAATGATGACTTGTCATCAAGTAAATTGAATTTCGCCTTTTATCTTATAATAAATGAACTGTACCTGATTAATTTGCTTAAAATGTATTAGGAGATGATAAAGACGATTTTTTTTTTCGAAGTATGCGCTGGTCAGGCCCTATCCTCTTAAGCCCCGATACATTCGGGAAGGCGCGCCAGCATTATCAACCAATGACCACTCCCCACACCGTGGGGTAAGTTATCATTGGGTACGATAATCATGTGCCCTGAGCAAGCGCAGCGAGCCAAGAATGACAGCCTTCTGTGCGGCTAAGATTTCTGCCTTAGTGCGGCAAGCCGGTATGATTTTAAGATTCGAGAGTAGAGAGGACATCATTTCACCAAGGACTCCAATAATCAGAACAACCATCTTGACAGAGTGGTCTCGATAGAGTCTACGGAGTTCGAAGAGAAAATCTCGATATTTTATCCGTTTTTCCTCCTCTTTTCTGGCGATATTCGTCTTGCCTGGAGCTGAAAACTCCACGACAAATATCTTTTTGCTCTGGTAGTCGAGAAGAACTACATCAGGGTTATTAGTTTGTATAAGCCTGAGGGTGGGGAATGAATATATAGTTCCAATTAATTCGGTACTTCTCGTTCTCCGCAACGGATTCAATATCCCTCGGAGCGTAGGGCAACACCGGTGTCTCGTCAATATCGTGAGAGTGCCGTAGGTGGTAATATACCACTCTTAGGGCCGCGTTATCTCGATGGATATAGGCCCTGACCGCATATGCTGAACATGCTGATAGCAAGTGCATTAGGATCTCGGGCGCCTTTTGGCAGACCCTGCACCTTGTGTCAGGAACCTCTATACGCATCCCGCGACTGCGGTAGACTAAGGTGTTGAAGACACCATCCTGGCAAGCCATGATGAACCTCAGTTTGCGTCTTCAGCCTACTCGAACTGAGAAAATCGAACGTCAGGCGCCTTCATAGCCAAGGTCTCCAATGTTATTGAAGAAGACCCCATGCATTGGCTTATCCTTGTGGTTCCGCAGAAGTAAGGTGATCTCTGCGGCTTTTATCTGAGCTCTTTGCTGAACGAGTTCCAACTCGGTGACAGAGTTGTGGTCACCTCGTTCAGTGTCGACAACTAAACCGAGTTCATCAGCTGCTAGGGCAGCTGCCCTAAAGAGAAATGCTCCAATTCCTGCTCTCCCATGGTCACGGACCATGCAGAGAAGGGGATCCGAACTCCTGATGACTTCACAGACTGTATCCAGTACAATTCTGTCATGTAGACACTCCAAACTCAAAAGTCCACGGCCTCCCTGTTGTCGGGGGAAGTATAGCCGTGGAACGGACGATTTGGGATGCAAACTCCTATAGAGATGCATTATTTTTCGGGTCTTCACGTCGAGTTGATACAGCTCCTCCCGAGTCCACTTCACTACTCCAAACGAGTAGAGTAAGATTGGAACGGCAAGCATATTTGCAGCAACTTTGTTCTTCCCCGACAGTTCCGATGACTAGATCTGTCAAAGTTTGTGCTGATACTTATTATTATTATTGTTATTGAAATGAGGTCAAGTGGAAAAACGATGAGGTTCCATTTTATCACATTCTGGAAAAATTAAATCTTAGATTTCAAGTTTAGAATTATTTCTGTTCGCAGGCAGTATTTAATTCGTTTTATAAAATAAAAGAGAGCAAACTTGAAGCTGATGAGAATAATTACAGAAACTTGAAATGTAAGACTGAAGAGAGAAGGTGCAACACCAACACTAAAATATCAGTGCCGATAAAATATCGAAACTTGTCGTTTTTTTTTCATGGACTCGTCTTTCTATCTCCCAAATGTTTCTGCGGTATTTGTTGTTGATCTGACTATCCAATACAGAGTTCAAACGAGCGAAGGTCAGCGAAGTATCCAGACTTTTATATTGTGTATACTCTATGACTATATGTACTTTTTGAAAGCTACTTCTGTTCGGATTTCATTGGAAATTTTGACTTCCGAGTCATAATAGTTTCGTAAATAATAAAAAAATGTATTTTCTTACAGTAATTTTCTCTGTTGCAGGTCACAGTTTGGACAACAGTGACTTAAGACATTATTTTTTACTCAAGAAACTGAATGAAATCTGATAAGCGTGGATCCTGTCGCCGAATCAGAATGAATAAATGTACCTTCCTAAATATATTGTATATTTACACACGCTATATACTATGCACGCTGGCCGTGCATACTATTTTGTTTTTTTTAAATTATTATCGACATATATATATTTCAACTATGAAACCTTCCTGTTCTTACTGTTTTATATTTATATAATTAAAATATATAAATGAATGTGAAATATGTGTCCATGGATGAAATAAAAGATGTTTTATATAACTTGTGTTTATTTTCACCAGCCTTCACAATTCATTATAAAGAAAGCAAATATTAGTGTATTACAGAATGATGGTGCCCCAATTGATATAATTTCAGTTTTAATTTCTCACATTCCAACGCTAAAGTGGCGCCATCTGTTGGACAGGTTTACAATGGCAAACTCACTTTTTTGAATAAATTGTCAAAATGTACGATAGATGGCGTAATTGTCAGACTACTATTTTGTGCTTATTATTAGTGTATAAATTTTTCCCGCCTCGTTCGGCTTTTTTTTAATTCTCAGAGATAAAGGGGAGGATGTTCAATTTTTTTAATAGTCAGGTATATTGAATATCCACTCTCCAGAACAATTTTCCTAAGACAGTTTTTTTTTCAGATGGTTGCTCTCTCGCTTATCCAGTATGTCGACTTATTCATTCATACTGAATATTTTTTAGCCAGTCATAAGAGGCGCCCTCTATTGAATTTTCAAAAAAGTTCTCTGATTCAAACATGAAAATTTCCAATTTTTGTTTCAAATAAATTCTTAAATTTGGACTCAAAATAACGACGTTTTCCTGCACACTGAACATTTCACCGTTTACTATAAGTGGTGTCATCTGAAGAATGAATGACTGGATGGAAGTAATTTTATGATTTAATTTTTGAAGAAGTAAATAGATTTTTTCTCGAAATCTACGATAGATGGCGTAACTATCTTACTACCATTTTGTGCGTATCATTAGTCTATATAATGCCCCTCACCACGCCCCGTGTAGTGGATTCCTCAAAGAAGAACGGGGTGTTTTTCAATTTTTTTTTCAGAATCAATCAGGTACATATAACGTTAACTCTTCAAAACTGTTGGATTTTTCGAAAACTCTACTAAAACACATCTATTTCTCAAAACAGTCTTGCTTCTTGATAGTTAGCGTGTTATACCCTCCCACCTTCCCATCTTAACTATGGCAACTTATTCATTCATACTGAATATTTCATAGCTATACATAAGTGGCGCCATCTGTTGGATTTTTCGAAAACTCTACTGAAACACATCTATTTCTCAAAACAGTCCTGCTTCTGGATAGTTAGCGTGTTATACCCCCCCACCTTCCCATCTTAACTATGGCAACTTATTCATTCATACTGAATATTTCATAGCTATACATAAGAGGCGCCGTCTGTTGGATTTTTCGAAAACTCTACTAAAACACATCTATTTCTCACAACAATCTTGCTTCTGGATAGTTAGCGTGTTATAACCCCCCACCTTCCCATCTTAACTATGACAACTTATTCATTCATACTGAATATTTCATAGCTATACATAAGTGGCGCCGTCTATTGGATTTTTCGAAAACTCTACTAAAACACATCTATTTCTCAAAACAGTCTTGCTACTGGATAGTTACCGTGTTATATATACCCTCCCAACTTCATCTGCACGTCGTCTTGATTTCAAACAGGTTGGAGCCTGGGCTCCTTACCCTTTGGACTGATGTTTGCCAGAAAGACAAACGAGTCATAACTGATGGTGAGTGTTGATGGTATGGCGGCATGAATGTCCTCAGACATTAGTACCGCCCTTTACGGTGTACCCCTACCTGGCTGGGGTGAATTGGATGAAAAAGTTGTTCATCTTTCAACGGAAGATATAGGGGCCTCATTCGACAGAGTGTCGGGGCTTTTTTATATCGGGAGGGGTCGTCTACAGTATAATCCATAGCTTCCCTGACTAATTCCCACCTTCACCAGAATGTCATCGTCATTTCATCCAGGTTTGGAGACCAGCTCCCCTACCCTTTTGGCTGATTACCCACCTTCACCATCTCAACTATATCAACTTATTCATTCATACTGAATATTTCATTGCTATACATAAGTGGCGCCATCTGTTGGATTTTTGAAAAAGTTTCCTCTATTACCGATTCAAACGTGGGTTATTGAAAAACTTTTTCTGTTTAAATATATTCTTTGAATTATAAAAATGTGTCCTGATTTTATTTTTGCTGATTCTAGTACGAAGCTTTTTTTGTATACTTTTTCGAAACTTATAGATGGCGAAACTATCGGACTACTATTTTGTGTGCTATTTATTATTAGTCTGTAAATTATTGTCGCCACGTTCAGCTTAGAAAAATTCTTATAAATATCGGGGAGATGTTCATGAGTTTTTTCAGGGATATTGAATATCAACTCTTCAAAATACTTCTATTTTTCAAGAGTGTTGTTTCAGGGATACACTGCTTGTTGCTCACCCAAAATTTTATCTGAGCTATGGAAACTTATTTATTCATCCATAATGAATATTTCACAGCATAAGTGGCACCACCTATTGGATGTTTGATAAAGGTCTCTGATTTCAATTTTCAACTTGACAATACTTGTTCACCATTCAAATTAGATTCCACAGATATACTTGTTACACAATATATATGAATTGCTCTCGTCAGGTTTTCTAGAGATAAGGGATGATTTTTTTTTAGGAATAATCAACCATATTTATCAGCGCTCTAAAACACTTCGTTCTTCAATATACTCTTGCTTCAGAAATGTTCGGTTTGTCATTTCCTTCTTTATAATCTAAAAGGTGACCTGATTTATTCTTTCATACTGAACATTTCTCAGATGACTGGATATGGCGACATCTGTTGGGATTTTTAAAAAAAATTGTGAATCCATCACTAGTGTCAAACTTTGAAGCGCTGCCAATTATTTCTAATTGAAAGAACACAATGGGGAATGTTCCTCCAGACGAAAATCAAGTAGTTTTCATAAACGAACTCTAAAACAACGCATTTTAAAATCATTTCAACCTTTTTCTTTAAAAAATTAATTGAATACTTAAAAAAGAGGAAGGAAGGAAGGCAATGAAATAATGCATTCAACATTTAAAAGAATTCGTTTCTATTTCACCATTTGGCAACATCGGTTATAGCTAATAAAGGACAATGAATCTGTTACCTGCATGAGACAAACAAAGACGACATATTTCAGAGGCGTGCTGTTCTGTTTACTTATGTTCCGAGTCATTCTGTTACATATGACATTTTGTGCACCCAAGATATCTTCCTCTATATATAAATAACAAAACAACTTTTGTTTGAAGGTGGTTGACAATGTTTCGTGGTGTATTTCATCAGTTCGGACTTCCATTGTCTAATATAATATAAATGGATTCGAAATCCTAGAAAAAAATAAAAAGATTAACAGAAAATAACAATTTTATTGAAACAAAAAACTGAAATTTCAAGGAAATAACATACAAGCTACAATCAGAAAATAAAAAATTGAAATACCAATAAAAGCTGAAAAATTAAAAAATATTATTAACAAAAATGAAAAATAAGAATTAAAAGATTCCAAACCAAGTTACGTCACGACGTTTCGATTGTTAGTATCCACAATCGTCTTCGGGTGATAATTTATCATCACCCATTTATTATTTTTCATTTTTGTTAATAATATTTTTTAATTTCTCAGCTTCTATTGGTAATTTCCTTGTAATTTCAGTTTTTTGTTTTAATAAAATTGTAATTTTCGGTTAATCTTTTTATTTTTTTCAGGGATTTCAAATCAATTTATATTATATTAGACAATGGAAGTCCGAATTGATGAAACAAAACAACAGTTGTTTATGTGGCTTGTGGAGGTGGTATTGAACTGTAATTTATATTTTGCCTTAATGGTTGATTTATAAAGAAAATTTTTCTTTTTTAAAGTAGAATATCTAGGTACGTATAAGCACGTATTTATTTTGTTAAAACTTGCATTTGCTGTAATAACCCAAATTGAGGAACATTCCCCATTCTGGAACAGTGAACCGAGATTCTTTACTTTTCAGAACCATGAACTCGTCTAGACTTTACAGCTGTTGAATATTGAAAAAAATCTATACATACCTGATTTTTCAACTCACAGAGGAGCTCCCCACTTGAAGTTTAAAAGATGATTCACGTGACACTTCTCTTTTGAAGGAGTTTTACTCCATACCAGAGTCAAATAAGACAGATGAGAATTTATTAAGAGTGATAGAGAGCTTTCCTATCTGTAACTTGTAGATATTTAGCTCTTCTACCCAGTATGCCAACGGTGTGGGGAGTTTTTTAAGGCAAGCGCCAAACATGATGGCGAGCCCGCCCCCATGCGCACAAAACTCATTTTCAATAAAACCCTCAACTACAGCTCTTGGAAGACATACAAATACTCTGTACAAAGGTGTATCTTTACTTCTCCTCCAATGCTGTTGGCGTTTGGCATTGCCTGAATAATTTGTATTGTTTCTGAAAAAAACGTCATCGCCTAAGAAAAAACCAGTCATCAAGGATGTATCATTATATAACATTTAATGAACTGTACTATTACCTATAATGCCAAATAAAATATGAAAAAAAACTACAAAGAAGTCATGTTTCCTTCGCTACCCTAATTAAAACTAATTATAGGTACGACACTGGCCGGCAAGGGGCTTATCGTAATCCAATAGAAATTAAGTTGGGAGTCTATACCTGAGCGAATCCTCGCCATCAAGTTTGGCACTTGCTATACACAGATAATCGGTATTTCATTCTCAGTTGAATTACAAGTCTATATACAGCCCTACATATTATTATAGATACAATCGATCTGTTGCGTGATTCGTCTCCTATCTTGATAACCAGTTGATCATTTTGTGTCTTTTTTTAAAAACCAAGTAAAAGAACTATTGAATATTACAGCTTGTCAAATTTAGGAAGAGCTTTCTGAATTCCGTTATGGTCCCGCCCACTAGATGTGCATTCGTTAGAAGACTATGAGAGCGAGAGAGAGAATTCTTAAGTCTCTTCCTAGATTTGATGAGCTGTAACTCCTTTATTAACACTAGATCACTCCCTATCTCAAATTGTGTTTGTTGGCTATCTTCTCCATAGGGCTGTAATATCTCCTATTGTAGTTGATAAAAGGGTGCGGTTTTGTGTTGAAGGAATTTCTTTTGTTGAAAGACAAAAACACAAGAAAATCCACCATCCATAAATGTTGACATGGATCTTGACAGAGAAATTTGACGATAACCGTCAATGGAAATGTTTTTAATCCACTGTGATTCGATCCTGAGGTGTTGAGAATAATGATAATCCTCTTTCTGAATGCTCTCATCACATCAACTGGAATATGGTCGAATTCACATGCTGTTATTAAGAGAACATCTGAGATAAAAAGTGAAGCACTGCTTCAATAATCGACTTACAATTACAGGATTGTTTCGCTATGTCTAACCTTTTCTTACAAATATCCGTAAAACTCTCAGCCCCAAGGACTGCGGTTTTTGTCTCATCTCTTCATGTCGCCTGTTGCCCATGAATCTCTTGTGAATCAGTATCTCACATTCACATAAATCATAACAAACTGTGTCTGCACCTTTGAAGATAGGAATAATCACTTACAGACTGTTCATTCAAAGGACGCGTAAATGAAATAAGATACTCTACTTTCATAAAAACCTCTGCTACAGAGAGATGGGATAATTCATCATGTTTCATGGGAATATGAAGCATTTGATTACAGAAGGCAAGGAATTCATGACAAACTTTCATCAAAGAACCTACAAAGATTAGTATTCTTACTATAATTCAGTCTACTAACAAGATTTTATACGAAAATTGTTGATGAAGAGTCAGTTAACAGTTCAGCTAAAAAAGGGGATTTGATAATATAACCAATTTTGGCAGAGAGCCCAAATATAGCACCACAATTATGATAAACGTCAAAAAAATCCGACTAACACCTTCTGTTTACTCACACCAGGTTATTTTTGGAGTAAGACTAGAGAAATGCCGAAAACTGCAAAGATTAGGTGGACTTGAACTCGTGCCAATACCGAAGTTTTGATTCACTTCATACGACGTTTCTAGAAATAGCTAGAATTGTGTTGCAATTGGTTTAGTTTACACTCCGGTGTATATATTTCACGTTTGCCAGAAGATATACCAGTCTTTGGCGAGAGTTCTATCCGATCAAAACACAAAAATCGAAGGTGAGATGTTCAATTATTAATTCAAGATGACGATTTTTCATTTACTGCTAAAAATAATTTTGAATAGAACCTGTAAACTATCAAATTTCTCAAACATATTTGTGCTTAATTCTTTCTCAAAATCATTAAATTTTCAATGATGAGAACTAATGGTTGGTATATTGTATTTAAATATAAAAGTCCTTCCTCAGAAGTGCTTAACTTATAGTTTTAACCGGCCATATCATTTCTGATTGTTTTCAGATTGTGAACAGTAAAAGATTCCCAAAAAGGTCGATAAAAATCATAGTTTCTTATTAACAAAATTTTCCTCATTTTCAGTAACTTCCATAAATAACATTGCAACTAAAGCCCGTCGACTACTTTGGAAAACAATTGCTATTTTTTAAATTGAACACTTCCAACTTTTATCATGTGCCAAGAAAAATAGAAGAAATAAAAGACATTTAATATGTTAAAAATCCTTCATTATAACCTATACAACAAATATTTGAAAAATCAAACCAATATGCCTTGGCAGCATTAACAATAGACTGAAAACTCATTATAAATTACCATTATTTTAAAGATGTCTGTGGTGCCTCTTTTATTCCGTGACTGGTGGGACGAAGAAGACTTTGTACGCCCCTCCCGTCTTTTGGACCAACAGTTCGGATTGGGACTGAGAAGAGATGACCTCCTCAGCTCCCTCAGCACCATTCCTAGAAGGTCGAGGTTGACCAACTATATCAGACCATGGAATACAGCAGGAACGTCCCTACAGAGGCAAGAATCCGCATCGACCATTACCCAAGACAAAGATAAATTCCAGGTAAGAGGACCTAACCAGGATTCTTGTGAATATAACTAATATCTCGGAAACGCTTTAGGAAAAATGAATTCACGATTATCCGGTTCGAAAGACCAAAGTTTGAAATTCTGGGACTTGACAAACTCTTTGCAAAAGTAACGTGCGTTGTATTTCCCAAAATTGCAAAGAAATAACCAATTTGTTTTCAACAGGCATACCAAACTAACCTTGAGACAGAACGAAGGCCGCAATTGATCAAAACTTCCGAAAGTTTCGAGGTAAAAATTAAGAGAAGAGTAACTAAAATATCACTAATATTCGCCACAAAAATTACTTGTTTGGAAAGTATGAATACTTCATGAAATGTTCTTCTGTTCCAGTTGCCCACAATTTTTCGTGATGAATTCTTATTTTGGGATCCCTTCAGTCAGTTTTACTCTCCCAGAAAAATATTTTTGAATTCATGATGAAGATTCCTAATTCGTTTTGAAAGAAGTTAGCATCTCAACTTCCGTTCCAAGAAATCTTGACTCTAATTCTATTTAGATTTTCTAGGTTTTTCGTATATCAAAATATATAGCATCGCATGAAAAGTTATTGTATCTACTAATTTGAATAAGTTGCCATGTTTTGTTATAGAGAAAAATTTAATTTTTTATTAAATTCTCAGCTTGTAAATGTGGCTCCAAATCCAAAATTATATCTACAAAGTAAATTGTAGCAAGTTCACCCGCGCCTTTGTAAATAACCTAACATAATTCACATTAATCCCTTCTGTTGTCATCTGTCGATTCAATATATCCCTGAAAACAGTATACAATTTTTTTTTCAAATATATTACGCGGGAGTCCCCAAATCGAAATTTGAACAAAAGTACATCTAGTATTTTTGTATTATCAACGAAACAAAAGTTATAGTGTATACAAAGCCAATTCGAATGGTATAAAAACTAAATAGTTACCGAACATCGGCAGTTTTTTTGTATGACATGAGCGGCGTGGTATATATTTTTTTTAAATCATTTTTTTAATGTGAGAGGTTTCATTTGCTAGCAACTAGTAATATTGTCAGACCCAGTACGTTAGTATTTAATTTATCTATTCAGATTGACTTCCTATAGACAATATCTCCGAATCAAAACAATTTCATCTTTTCCCAGGTGATCCTCGACGTTCAACAATTCGCCCCTTCAGAAATAACCGTCAAAACAACAGGAAACAGCCTCATCGTCGAAGGCAAACACGAGGAGAAGCAAGACGAACACGGTTACATTTCCAGACACTTCGTCAGGAGATACGTTCTACCGGAAACTCACGACGTGGAGAACGTTGTTTCTTCCCTCTCATCCGATGGTATTTTGACGGTGAGCGCGCCAAAGAAGGCCCCCAAGGACAACAACGCAGAAAGAGTGGTACCCATCACAAAGACCGGACCTGCAAAGGCTAGCGTCCAATCTACCGATCCACAACCCAAAGTTGAACACCCAACAAGTTAAAATTTCCAACTGAAACAATTTTTTTATATTATTTTCATTAGGCAAAGATGTGACAAAAAAAATTATTAAATTACACTTGAGCACAAATGTTGTTTATTTATGACTGCTAATTTTCTTGAGAGGTCTTTAAAATATTTTAGAGCTTCATCTTTTTAAAAGTAGTACCATAATAATGACAAAATGTAAGAATATAAATAATTGAAATTAAAATCTTGAAACATTAATCACTTCCAAAGTACCTACACCTTAGGTTCTGATAAATGCCTGCTGTAAATCGACTACTTCCCCGACTAATATCATGCTGGACATTGAATTATATTCGACAGACATATCTGCATAATACCTCACAGTATCATCTTTCCCACCAACTGATTTCCTAGAGTCTTTGAAGTCTACTAGATACTCGTTAGGACAGCAAGAGGATTGTTTCGAATTCGTTGGGTTCTTGTTGAGTACTCTTCGTGAGCAGGAAAATAGCAGAATCAATACTCCTGACCGCTCTAGATTGAATAATTCCGTACAGTCATCTCGTCGTGTGTTTGTAGATATTTTGCTGGAAAAATCCTAATTTGTTTACGTTGTAGTACATGTTCAAGAGGTAGCAAAAACGTATGTGACTTACTGGAACTTCAACTAGCGTATCCTTATATGACTGATAACCAGTCTGTTCAAAGCTTACTGTAAAATCATCTGAAAATAGAACTTTTAACGGATGATGACCAAATATGCGCCAAACTAACTGCCCGTTATAAGACGACAAGTATATCTGAGGCACCAATCAATCTAATAACAACACTGATGATCTTCAAACATGACTCAACCTCTGACAGAAGCACCAAACTCTTACAAAGGTTCAAAATGAATGAACACTTCAATCTAGCAAACCACTATTATAACCTTCATGAAGTCACTGTTCACTCTGGTTCTGACGTTGAATCTGGTCAATAATAAGCATCGGTCAGAGACGAAACGGACTGGTTTAAGTTTGACGATAGTCGTGTCACTAAATATTCTGGCGATATCTTGAATTCATTGGAGCCTCTGGAGACACCCTACATTGTATTCTATGAAAGAGAGGACATTAACAGATCAAGATCTTCAGATGATGTGGTGCTGTAGGTTTTTCTGGGTTTTCCTGCAGCTGTAAAAGCAAATGCGCCACTGGAATCAATGAAGTCGCCCTGGAGCGCCAATTAATTTTTGTTGTTGTTTTATAATTTGTATTATAATAAAATACCTAATATAAAAAAATAATAATCATATGAAATTCAATACACAACTAACAGAATATAATATGAAATAGGTTGACAATTTTATAGTTTCAAATGTTTTCATTTGTTTTTTATTTTGAATTGAAGGGGTTATATTTATAGGAGTGATAAATTTTTGGGAAAGAAAGTTTTTGGCTTTCTACTACTCCATCTTGAAAAAAAAAAGGTTAGGGAATCTTCCAAAGAAAGGAAGGAAGTAATTAATTTGAAAATGAGTAACTCTATACATGGATGTGTAGATCATGCAAAGAAGTAACTTTCAGACACAAACTGAAAGAAAGTCCTCCTGAAACATCTACTTTCATATAAACATTGAATTACACGAAAGAAAAAAATTATTTCGAAACAAATACTTCTATATGAACACTGAATTATACAGAAGATACTTTTCTCTACTCAGTTTGTATTTCAAACATTCGTTGTGGAATGAAAATCAGATATCATTCACATGATATCTGATTTTCACATGAGTTCTACTTTGAATGAATGGTAATAAATTGCACTTACATGGAACACTGTCACCCTCACTGGTATACATTGATGTTTTGCCTTAAGACACTTGCCTTCAGTACCAAATTGGATAACATTATAGAAAATACACATAATTCATTCATGAATTACGATTTTTTAATGTCACGGAATAAGCTTGATCTATTTTGTTTTTTCATTTGTTATATTATTCTAAGTATGTTTTATTTTTCGATTTGTATGCTACATTGTCCTTACTATAAACATGTATTGTTTCTTGGGATTATAGAAATTTGTTATTATTATTTATTATCAAGTTACTATGCAAACCTTACATTTGAAATTGCAAAAAATAACGTACGCTTTAAAAAAAATGTCTGAAAAATTCAAATAAGGCAATACTTTTCTGAAAAAAAAAATGTTAATGCTGTGTCGTACCATCCCAGTGAAAATGTATGTCTAACTGGAAAACAAAAATTTCTAGTCAAAATCTGCAATTGCCAAGTGATTCAGAACCATCCAATTACCTTGTGATCTAAATTTAATAAAAATCTGTGGAGACGCCATTTTTAAAGCTATTTTTCTTATTCTAGACCCTTGACAGACCCATGTTTATTTTAATAAACATGGGTCTGTCAAGTTTTCGTCCTTTGAATAAATTTGAGGTATTACCAAAGTAGACCTTTGGCAACTCATGTTTATTTCAATTGACGTGGTTCAAATTATAGTCCTTCGATTAAATTTGAGATATTACCAAAATAGGCTGCAGTAAAATGATAATTTGGTAAGGCCGGGAAGTACAAGAAAAAAAAGCAATGGGGAATGTTTCTCCTGACGAAAATCAAGTAGTTTTCATGAAAGAGCTCCAAAACAACGCATTTTAAACTTATCATTTCAACCTTTCTCTTTAAAAAATTATTTAAATACTTAAAAAAAGAGGAATGAAATAATGCATTCAACATTTAAAGGGATTCGTTTCTATTTCACCTTTTGGCAACATCGGTTATAGTTAATAAAGGACAAGGAATCTGTTACCTGTATGAAACAAACAAAGATGACATATTTCAGAGGCGTGCTGTTCTGTTTACTTATGTTTCGAGTTTCGAGACATTGTGTGACATATGACATTTTGTGCACCTAACCTATCTTCCTCTATATAAATAAATAACAAAACAACTGGTGTTTATGTGGCTTGTGGGGGTGGTATTGAACTATAATTTATATTTTGCCTTAATTGTTGATTTATAAAGATAACTTTCCTTTTTCAAAGTAGAATATCTAGGTACATATAAATTATTTCAACTTGATATAGGCGCTGTTGCCAATATGTGAATTAGAAACAAATCTGTTTAAAAATTAAAACCAACATTTGAAACATCAATTTGAATACTTTTCGAAGTGAATTTGAAAAACTCATGAATTAAACTCAACTTTATTTTGTTCAAACTTGAATTTGCTGTAATAACTCAATTTGAGGAACATTCCCCATTGAAGGAATGGTACTAACAGATTCTGGCTCAAAACCCCATGCTATTTTTTATGGTTCTTCATTTTAGTCATTCTCAGACCTCCGAGCGGAACCTTGTGGAACACCCAACTCGAGGTAAGTGTGACTTGTGTAAGAGAGAGAAAGAAGGGCACTAAGCCACATCTTCACTAATAATTGTCGCATCGAATCACTCTTACATGCGTCACACCTACCTCGAGTTGGGTGTTCCACAAGGTCCCCTCGGAGGTCTGAAAATGACTGAAATGGAGCACCATAAGAAAAAGCATGGAATTTTGAACCAGAATTGTATAGTACCTTTACTAATTGAAGACCTGGATTGTTTTAATATCTCACACTAATGTAAACAAAAACAAGTATACGCTTATTTACTGTCATTTGTATTTGAATAAAATAAAAACTCCGGTTCATAAACGGGATTTTAGAAGCTATTCCTCATATTGAATAAATGCATACTAAATATAAAACTGGAATTGGTTTCATTAAAATTTGAGACAAGAAGAATGTGAAAGCAGAAAGAAGTTCGAATTTTTTATTTTTTTACTTGCAGTTTCAACTTCCATTTGCTCTCAACATCGTTCAAGTCTTTCACAGTCTATCATCTATCAAACCTCCAGGTGCAAATCCTTGGCGATAGTATAAGCGGTCACGTGCATCATGTTTCGCCTATTCGCTGTGAAATTAGCGATTGCCTTTTCTCTGGTCAACTCCCATTCGTAAAGGTCCCTGTACAGAGGACGGACGAACTTCATCCTGCCCAAGATATTGATCCAAGCCATCGCTGTTTGGACTTTATCCTCCCAACGAGCTTTCAGGCAAATCCTGAGCCATCTACGAATGGAAAATGATCATCAAATTTATATGAAGGGGAGAAAGGCGACGTTGTTACGTTGTTTAACACTTCTATTTGAATTCCTATTCAGTCGTGCTTTTCACACCATCTCATTTTCTGGGAAAAAGCTCATAAATGTGATCAATTATTTAACATTCCAATTATAACATGTATGTTTAATTTACTTAACAAAACAACTTGTGAAAGTAACATCATCGAAACGGATGTTCTTGCACATTAATTGTACAATAGAAAAAATGACCAAAACTTGACTTCAGCATTTTTGATAATGTCCAAACCTAACAGTTTCTTCAAAGCTGCCAAGTAGTTTCCTGGCTAAAACCCCGATTCAATATCCGTCAAGATATTAGCCAGGAATCAGTGACAAATAACAAAATGCAATAGAAAAAATTACCTGAACTTGATTTCAGCATTCTTGATACTGTCCAAACTGAACAGCTTCTCCAAAGCCGCCAACTTCTCTTTCGATAGCCCCTGGGCTTCCAACATTTTCTGCAAAAAGTAAATCATCTGATTGGTAGTCAACGCCTCCTTATCCTCCTTCGAAATGGGAATCCCGCCTTCTCCGTTCCATTCCAGAAAAGATTTCAGCAGGCCATCGCAAATTGTAGCCAGAGATTTGTCGTATTCCGGAATGACGGGAGGCATACCGGGGCTGAACAACCACATGTCCCAATCAATGGAAGTTATGCTCGCGGTCTCGCTGAAGTATTTCTCGAAAAAACTCTTGAAGTCGGAAGTTACTATCGACTTGTATTTGAAGGTGTCAAAGTATTTTCTCAGGAAAGGTTCGAATTTTTCTGGGAAAGAAGTTTGAGGTTAGGTTAGTGAGTATATGGCTGGTATCGATTGACTTCTTACCAGGACCTCCAACGACTGATTCCAAATAGCGAAGGAATGTTTGCCCCTTCTCGTATGGGACAATTGAAGAGGCTTCATCTGGATGAACACCTTTCAAATCAACTACCAGTTTTGTTAACGGACTGTCTTTTCCCATTCTCTCAATCTGAAATTTATTTATTTATACGGGATATACCCCATTACAGTGTAAAAATTTCACAGAAAAAAAGTACAATATAAAAATGTAAAATATAAACTGATACGCTACGGAATGTTTCTGCAACACACAACTTTATAACATTATAAAATATTATAGGATATAGAATTGAAATTAAACTTGTTACTACATTATTTAAACAATTACCAACTTGAATTATTCAATGATTGTTTAAAACGACCATAAGAGACACCAAAAATACTGATGTTTTTGTCATCTACTAACTTTAGGGTTCTTTCCGAAGGTGTATGTTTGCCATAATTTGTATGATGGAAGGGTATATGAAATAAATGGCTGCGTCTAAGACTCCTGTTCGGAACATAACTGTTGACAGATTCAAGTAATTCAGGACAAGTTATTAGTCCATTGAGCAGCTTGAATGCATAGCATAGATCTGCATGAATTCTTCTGGTTTGCAATAGTTTCAGCCCCATTTCTTGTAATATACTCGAATAGTCATGGTACTGTATTTGAAGACCCAACTTGAAAGAACAAAATCTCAAAAATTTGTTTTACTTTCTTTCTAGAGACACACAGTGCACATACGGCATACGACATACGGCTCTTCAACCTTCTTCCCACAGAGTTTAGGAATAGACCCTCGACGCAATTCAAAAATCAATTAAAACAGATACTATCCAATAACAGTTTCTATAGTATACTTGAATTCGAAACATTCATCAAGAAAAACAGAAATATCTCCATGACCCATAGAAACCTGTAGTTTTATTTATACTGATATCGCAATTCATCATTATCTATATACATACTTTATATTTTTATAATGTATAATGCCATTGTTTTTATGTATTATTTAGATTTTCTATTGCGTTATACCTTGTATTTTTTTATCATTAACCAATTTTAATGTATGACCTTATATAAATTTTTAAATGTATTTTTCTACTGACCTGTCTACAAACTTTATGTTTCTTGAGACCAATAAAAATTATTATTATTATTTATGTAAAATGGAGACTAAGTGATACATGCATATTCTAACTTAGACACCACTAGAGTTAAATAAATCCTTTTCAATGCTTTAATGGAAAATCCTGAACAATGACGTAAAATAAGACCCAGTGTTTTGGAAGATTTCACACTCACTTGGTTAATATGGTTTACAAATTTGAGTTGTTCATCAAAAATGACCCCCAAATCTTTTATGGAGGAAGTGTATTCTAAGTGCTAATAATTTATGTTGTATGATGTACAGAATTTCCTACCAACTCTTGAGAAAGTAATAAAATGGTATTTATTTACATCAAGAAATAAGTTATTTGTAACACACCATTCATAAACTTTATCTAGATCATCTTGAAGAAGAATTTGGTCATTGTATGACTTTATCGGTCTGAAAAGCTTCAGGTCATCTGCAAACATTATAAATTCACTGTTCTCAAAACAGCATCCTATGTCATTCACAAAAATATTGAATAACAGGTGTGAACAAAGTGATTCTTGTGGCACTCCAGATATTACTAATATATCACTCGATTTGCTTCCACTAATTTTAACCTGTTGTGAACGACCAGCCAAAAAACTACCAAACTAATTTACCAAATGTTCTGTAAAACCGAAATCGCGTGTTTTCAGAGTTGATTAGAGTTTGTTGATTTTCTTTCGGGCTTTAACTCACACAACGACTTCAATAACTTACCGCCTCGGACAATTCGCTGACAGCTGTGTAGGCGTCAAAGTCTTGCGATTTTGGCGACTCCAACCTCCCTTTGATTTTCCGTTCGACAAACACAGTAAATCCTTCGTTGAGCCAAAAGTGTTCGAAATTCTTGTTCGTTACTAGATTACCTGTCCAGCTGTGCGCAATTTCGTGTGCTACAACATTAGCTAAAGATCTGTCGCCAGCCTGAAACGAAGGGACACTGTTCAGAGAAATCGGCAAATAACTTAGGAAGAAGATTTGCTAAAGCAGTCCCACAAGCAATCTATTCAATGAGAATCAGCCATAAGTATACCACAAATTATTATTGTGTAAGAAATGGAAGGTTTAAGTGGAAGAACAGCTTAGTAAATAAGTTTAATTTCGCCCACTTTTTACATTGTACTATCACATTAACTTTGTAGAATAATGGTCAATGATAAAGATTAAGACAATCATCATCATTACTAATAGAAATGCTAAATTGGTTGTGCATCTCGCAAAAACAAATGTTCAGGGTGGATGAAACCCTTTCCGGAAGAATAAGAAATGGTGTATGAGTTTATGCTGTTAGTTTTCAATCCAATTCCATTCTATTATTATTAGGGAAAACCATTATTCATTATACGGAATGACAACATTTTTTTCATTCTCTCATCATTGATATCGAATATCAAAGACTAATGAGACTCCCCAATGCGCCTGATTGAGTCTCGTTCATTTTTTATTTTCGTGGATTGAGTCTTCTGTCATTCCCATAGATGGCGTTTTCGTAACCATCCCATATATTGATGGTTATTTCGGAAACATAGCCTGCATTACTTTCTATTTTATTTCATTTTTTAAGTAATCTACAGAGCAAGCAGTTCCAATAATCGATTACAATATCAAAAAATAATTAAATAACCATTCTCAATATAATACAACGACTAAAACTAAAGTTACTCCAAATCACCTGAATCAAAATTAAATTCAAAGACACATTCAGTTGAAAATGACAAATTGACCTTTTTCATTTAAATTGACTCTCAGTTAGTTAGTAATAATTTATAAGGATGCCATCTCAATTTCAATATTTTCTCAAACAATTTGCAAGAGAACACATATTGTATAATGGGGTATTTAAACCTAGATTGGTTTGAAGTTTAGGCAAAACAAATATACCTTTCCTTCTATTATTGAAGTATGTACTGCAGTTCAGATAAATTTTTGTCGACAAGTGTGGGTTATCTACTTTATTATGCAATAGCTTATAAAAAAATAATAGGAAAGCAAGTTTTCTTCTAAATTCTAAGGTTGTGAATTTAAATTCATTCAAGGAAGTATGATAACTAAGATTGAAAATATGTTCACCATGTTTTTTGTGATGTAGAAATCTCAAGAATTTTTTCTGTACCTTTTTAATTCAATTTTTATGATCTGAATAATAAGGAGACCATATTATTGCACCATATTCCAGTATACTACGGACAGATGCATTATATGTGGATATTTTTGTGAATTGGAATGAGTTCCTAATAATGACAGCAAGCATTCTATATGCTCTGTTTATAATTTTGGTCATATGTTGCTCAAAAGTGAGTTTTCCATCTAGCGTAACTCCCAAATCTCTACATTCTGTCTTCTTGGCTAAATATTCATTGTTTATCTTATACTGAAAATCATTCCGTAGTTTTTTCCTAGTAATTGACATACTAAAGCATTTGTCAACATTAAATGTGAGGCGACTTGACAGGGGCCACGCATAAACTCTATCTACGTCATTTTGTAGCAAAATCACATCTTCTTTACTTTTGATTTCCTTGAATAATTTAAAATCATCCGTGAATAGTGCACATAGCGAGTCCTGAACTACCTCTGGCAGATCATCTATTAGTAATAGAAAGAAGATGAGTCCTAGATTGGATTCTTGGGGTACACCAGATCTTCTGAAAAAAATCCTCTGATTCCCATCCCTTATACACTACATATTGTTTCCTGTCTATAAGATACGAAGCTGACAGCTTCAAGAATCGATCTGAAAGCCCCAAAGTGTATAGTTTTTTCAACATTACCTCATGATGAACCTTGTCGAAGGCTTTACTAAAATCTGTGAAAATAATATCTAGTTGACTATTGTTGTCGACAACTTCATTTGCCTCTTGTATAAAATATGTTAGGTTAGTTATCGTGGACCTTTTAGGTAAGAACCCATGTTATTTTTCACTTAGACATGGATAAACGTGATTTAAATTTTTTTCATGAATAACTGATTCGAAAAGCTTACTGGGTGCACAAATCAGTGCTACTTGCCGAAAGTTTTGTATATTCTTCCTAATGCCACTTTTATATGTTGGACAAACTTTAGAGTGTTTCCATATAGTAGGGTAAGTACTAGTTTGTAAGATTAAGTTATATTATTTTTAGGGGTTTGATCAAGAGTTTTATGCAACCTTCAACTATATAAAAGGGCCACAAGATTTTTTTGTTTTGAGTTTTTTTGCGGCTCTTAGAATATCTTTATCATTTACAGAATCTATATCTAAACAATCCGCTTGATCTTTTGAATATACGCTCAAGAAATTATCTGCGAAATTTCCTGTAATATTTTGATGGCCCTTTATTGTTTCCCCCCTATACACCATGGTTTCATTTGTGACATTTCTCTTAGGGAAGCAGCTATCATCCAACCATACATCGCTGAGACACCCTGTATATACTTCCCTGTTGACTTGAGATCTATGGTTAAATCAAGGAATCTGCTTTCAGAGACTTTTGATGAACCTTGCCTTATGACGTATGAGCGGACTGTATCTGAACAAATATTTTTTGGTAAAAATCTCAAATGTTGCACTTGATTTTCTGCTACACCACTGTTGAAATAGCAATATAGATGGAACTTTTCTGGAGACAATGAAGAACAAAGGACCAAAGGAGGTACTCCAATTATAATATTTACTGGATCTAATTTGACAGTGTCAATCATAACTACTTTGGTTCTATTTCTCAAATGAAACTACTTTCCTAACACCACTACGATGGTTTTCCTACAAATTTAATCGTGGTTGACTGTAACAAGCTTGATAATGATAATGTTGAAAACTAAATAGCGAAACATGCAGAACAAAATTCAAAACTACTTCGTTCCCATCACGCAAAGCACAAAAAGCTGTCTTAACTACAGTACATACCAATAACGTAGGCGTAACAAAAGTCAAACATGGATTTTCCATACCTCCATATGGAAAACTTGGCGGCAACACGAGCAGGTCGTAGATGCCCCAAACGTAAGGGCCGCATATCTCTTCGGCAGTCTTAAGCTGATGTTCGGTGTCTGCAAATTCATACGCGCACTCTTCGATGATCTCTTTCTCGGCCCAGACGTGAGAGCGAGGCCCCAACTTTCGTGACTCTAGGGCTCCGACAGCCAAAGCGATGAGATATGAGGGTACCGGTACACTTTGGACAAAATGCGAGATCTTGCCGCCGTGGAGGGTTTTCGAACTGTTGCAAACTGCAGACATGAGGACTGTGAGTTCCAACGGGGCTGAAATCTGAATTGAAAAAGGATGACTTATCTCAAAGTAATATTAGATTAGATTAAACTCATTCATTCATGGAAGGTCAAGCAATAATGTTTATATTCTTCTCCATCTACACATCCTTGTGAACCATTCATTTTGAACTTGATTGCTTTTTTTCAATACTTCCTGGAAAACAGCTTCTATTCAATAGAGGAATTTCTGGCATTGGAATCCAAACACTGAATGTATGAATACGTATAATATAGTTTTGGAAATTTACCAAATTATTTTGATAATCACCTAGTTTACTCCTACATCCGAATTCTAGGTTAGAATCGTTAGAAACTCCTATAGTTTCCATTGATTTCCGATTGATCAAAAATTCTTTCGATTTTCTGGATGTTCGGATTTGTAGCATCATCAGTTTCAACAGAATCTAATCAGCTACAATATAAGATTATACAAACATCCATTGTTTTTATTTGTGTCATTCAAAATATTTTTCCTGTTGTTTGATTGAAAATCATTATAATCTTTGGGTAAACAGGCTTGTTTTTGTTTTGTTAACATCGTTGTTTTCAGTGGACGCCTTGTTTTGTTACTTTTCATATGTTGTTTCTGTTGACTGCTTGATTACAGGTATAGATACAGAAGAATGAAGTGCTAATGTCAAACACCGCTATTGTTGCATTATAGATGTAATGAGGCAAGTTATGTATATGATTTTTGCTTGCCCGGCAACTCATAAAGTGCTGACCCTAGTAAGGCTACATAAAAATCTCATCTTTATAAAAACAGCAGATCTGTCAGTAGCTACATAGGAGTGGCATTTCAAATAAAATCTGTTAATACAAATAAACCTAAAATTGGCGCAGTCGGTAAGATAGCGGAAGAAGATCGACCCGAAAATTCTTCAGTTTCAACTGTTAATCTGCTACATAGCAGCAGTTCTGTCACTAGCTTCATGAGAGTAACATTTGAAATAAAGTCTATAGATCCCAATGGTCTTTTAGAAAAGTGATTTCCGTGTCCCCAAACCTATAATTGGCGCAGTCGGTAGGATAATGAAAGAATATCGACCCGGAGATTCTTCAGTTTCAACTGTTAATCTGCTACATAGCAGCAGTTCTGTCAATATCTTAATAGCAGTAACATCTCAAATGATGTATGCATTTTCAGTGGCCTGAACCTATTCTTTGCATCACAGATTATTCTTGATTTACTGATAAATTTGAGGACCTCCCAACAAATCTGTCTGAGAACTTGATTCAAATAATTGTTTTGTGTGATTTCAACACTGATTTTCTCCAATCAGATCTCGACTATAGTTTGTCATGAATTAATTTGGACAAGTTTCCATCATCCATGAAAATTCTACACTTGAAAATTATACAAACAAAGATAATTAATCGTATGAGACAGCTGCAGTTGACCCTTGCTTCGTCTTCGTAGTTTTTTGGAAAGAATTGACTAATTAGGTAGAATTGAATGAACATGACTGGAAAAGTTAGTTTTATATTTTTTGCCGGAGGAGGGGGAGGGCATTGACTCCTGTAACCTCCCAGGGCTATAACCTTGTTTTCATGTTAATTCACTTCATTCAAACCATCAACAGACTCTTCCAAGCAATAATGATTTAACATTTTTATACAATTGTTTACTCTTAAATATTAATAGTGACGTGAAAAAAAATTCTGACTGATAATTAAATTTCTCTCTATTCTGAAATGAAAAAAAACACTCACAGTTGCACTATATGTCTGCTTAACAGTAGGAGTATCCTGACATGGTAGTACCGATCTTGCATGAGAAGACTAAAATTCAAAAAAAATATTTATTAGTTGAAAAGAAAACAATACACGAACATATCTATTAAAAACAATTTTTTTCACACCAGAACAAAAATACTGTATCTCGATGGCGAAAGGCATGTCGAGAGACATTATTTACCTATCAAGCCGGTATATGATGTGAAATAAGTATTGACTTTAAATTCAGAGGGTGATTCATTTCGTATTTCATGAAAAGTTGCTTCTATGACAATTATCTACCTGGAATTGGCTGAAAAGAAAAGGATGTTTCTTCCCAGCTGTTGCTTTGGGAGATATCCACTGTAATCCACTAGCCTCAGGACTTGTTTTGTAGTTGATTTGTATTTTGTAGCTACAAATAGACGAGTGAAGAGTTAGCATAAAAAAATCAATTTATTTGTCAAAGGAACTTTGCAAAATGTATCACAAATTGTAATCAACACCTATTCACCTGTTACCGGCTTTCTCCGGTAATTCAATCGTCAGTTTTGATCCATAATCGGCCACATGTTCTGATAATTTATAATCCAATTTTTCATCAGTTTCAGAATCGGAAACCGACAAAATGTCCAATTTGAAAGAATCAAGAACCTACAAATAGAAAATGTTTCATTAGTTTTGAAAGAACTTTGTGGCCTTCCTCAAATGTAGGAGATTCAGTGTGTTTCCAAAATTCCAAGAAGGGCATGTAGGTATTTAAAAATTATGTACTATGAAGAAAAGAAAATTGAAACTTTCCATGTTTTTTACCACTTTCATTTGTAACTAACGTCACTGCAGTTTCATCCTATAAGGACAATTTCAAACTTATACATACTTATACCTTTATTCTGTAATTGCAGTGGCAAAGTTTTTGTATGATTGAGTAATAGTGACTTATGCAACATACAAGAGGTGAATGTTAAAATTCCGCAGCTACGAACATTTGATTCACTTAATTTTTCTAACAGACCTCATATAATAAGTAAACCAAAGAGTTTAACCATAACAGGTCAACGAGTACATTTGTGGAAACTAGATAAGAACTAATAATTATACCCTGTACCTAGAAAGCTGACCAACATTTAATTAATGACTAAGAGCTTAGGTCAAAACGAAAATGAGCATGAGCAAAATTGAAATATTTACAGCTCCCGTACTGCAGAAATTTCAAAGGTATTGATTTAAATTTGGATCTATCACCATAATTGAAAAATAAATGAAAAAGTGTCGAGTATATTTTTTTACGTAATTGTTTTCATTACTACAGGGCACTTTTCTCAGGCATAGTGTCAGCTACTAGTTTTTTTCAAACTCATTTTGCTGATATCAGTGTTTGCTAATACAAATAATATTAATATTTTTAATTTGAGCAATTGCTTCCAGTTCTATTAACTTGATATTCAAACACTGAATGTTCACAAATGTTGAAAATAACATCAAATCTTTACTTACCAGTTCATTTGCAGTTTCATCAACTTTTTCTACTGACAAGATAACGTTTCCACTGAGTATCTTATTGTCAAAGTTAACATTCAAATTGAGACAGATGTCTTTGATTATAACCAACTCTGAAATAACAACAATCGATTCGTAAGTTCATGTTTGAGGGAAATAAAATTGGAAACAAAGAAACGTTCATGAATCAATTCATTAATAGAATCTTCAATGGCATGAAAAACTCGTCACAGTGAAGTAACTACTTCAATCACAAGTACCAAGATTAGAACCGAGAGAAATTATATTCGTAGCCACTTGATGCCCTAATTGAAATGAATTAATATTTATTGAAAACTCACTCACCGGGCCTTGAAAATGAACTGGGGTCTGAAGGGCTCAAACCAGTTTTTTCCATTTTTGTAAATTATTCGACTGAAAGAAACCTTCAATCTTCAACGGCGTTTTGTAAAAACTGAAATAAGTTATCAATAATTAAATATTCCAACATCTAATCATCAGATAAACGTATAGATCAAACAACTGTAAACACGCAACAGCTGCTGAAAAATGTCAAACGGGAATAAGTCAAATGTCATTTTTTTTAACTTCTCGGAATTCTAATTTGAATTTTTTCCTTAATATATAAGTGAACGTCTCCATTTTTCAGACCCACCTACAAACGTACCTTTATCGGTATCTGGTGGACAAATACAGCGTTTCTACCCTTAGTTCCAATTTTCCACAGAGAGGGCCTTTCAGTCGTTAAAATTAGAGTATTCCTAGCTTTCAAAGGTTTGTTTTTATTATTGTTGTTGATAAGGGGGAACAAATTTTAAGTTATTTTTCTATTATTATTGATAATTCAGTAGTATTGGAGTAGACTGTAATTTTATTGATAATTAATTGTGGCTTTAGTTGAGATAATAACCACGTGAGCGCTAGCGTTCGTGCGAAGTTTTCGAATTCAAGGTTCAATCGAGTACAAATTGTATAAACTATTTTCAAATTTGAATTTTTCGAAGGGAAAAGGGTTTAGTGGAATTTCTCTCACTGCCCGAGATCTGAGGACCACAAAATTATTTGAAAGAATAAACAAAAACATGCGTGCTCCGTAAAGAGAAAGGGAGCCACCAGTTTCCAGCTCACAAAACTTTGGTAGACATATCTTACCAGATAAAGAATAGATAGTAAATGCATTGACTACTTCAATAAAGTGTCCTTGAAAAAATAATGTTTAAACATGGGGCATAAGCCTACACTCTTGCCCATTACCAAAAACCGCAACCGATAACCAGATTCCTGCACGAATCCTCGTCTTATTAAAAAAAAACATTTAAAACTCTCATGTTCACTAAACATATTGATTTTTATTTATTAATATTGAAAAAGAAGTTTTTAATCTAAATGGCCTTCCTAATTTAGGAGTACCACGTGTTCCTGCCGAAAAAAAGAGGAATGCTTTTAGTGAATATGATAGTTTTTTTCAATGAAGCCTACATTTTGATATAGATTTCCTAAGGAGCTTTCAAATGTAAAATGTAATTCTAGGTAAACTTTCTGTTGGAAACATCCTGGCAATCCCAGTCCATTACCAGAGTAGTACCTTGCACTTTGTCCATCACCTCATCCCCCGCAGTCGTAGACGAAATGTAAGACAAATCCTTGTAGAATACGGCCGAAAAACAGAAAATAGCTTTGGCAGGGTCATCTCAACTTTAAAAGTTTACAATATTTGAGTATAAACGGGTTGTTTAATAAAACAAGTAAGAGTTTCTCAATATTTTTAATAACTGATCCACCTTAGCAGTCATCATACTCATCTGTTGGTGTGGCTTGAGCTATCAACTATAATTTTGAATACGGAATTATGTACTGAAGCCTTTTTTACAAAATATTGTTGACATATCTGCAACGCCTGTTTCACTACACAAAACTCTGATGTGAAATTTCATTATGAAGAAGAATAGGTGTTGTTAAATAGTGTAACGAATGTGAAGCCGCCCCAGAACGCTGACCCATACGCCAGCCGATTCATCGAATAAATACATGACTCATCATAATACAAAGATTGTTCACCAAGCGCTCACAAATTTATTTTAAAAATCCCACTTCTGACACCAATTGTAACGAATTAGAGAATCAACTGTCTTACACAAATTTATTTCTAACAATATTTCACTATCACCAACTAATTTATATTCAACACTCAATTTCTTAATTTATTTCTACTATTTGACTTCCTTGTTTAACCTGTCAATTTACTTTTTGAATTCAACTGCCCTCTCTGGACGAGAGCCGGCCTTATATATCGGTAGAGGTCCATTTGTAGAATTCTGTAATCTGTTTGGTACACGCCTAGAATTTTCCCGGCGGTTTCAGACTGCATTCTTTCACGGTGAGTCATGTATTTATTCGATGAATCGGCTGGCGTATGGGTCAGGGACGGCTTCAGATTCGTTACATTAGCTTGGATGTTTATCAAGTATCAGTCAATGTCATCACAAAAATCGAAAATATTGTTCAATTTAGGCTTATGTTTTGGAAAATGTATCAGTTTGTGTCCATTTTTTGGTTTTAAACTACAATTCTCATTTCATGACAATTACAGTTTAATGAGAATGAAATAATGTGGTTTTGTAAAGATACAGATTTTTTTTTACAGATACAGGTATTTTTTCACAAAATAGCCACTGCTAAATATTTTCGATAAAAATCTGTAGAAACATAACCACTCGAAGTTGTGGCTTTATAAATAAGATTCTATCTTGGATAATAAAGCATATTTTGATTTGATACATATACCTAAGTAAACTTTTGAAGCTGCTTTTTTTTGAAGTTTTTGCGTTTAATTTGGTGAAAAAATTAATAGATTTTACTTTGAAAGGTGCATTTCAATAGGACATTCAATCAGCTGGACTGCTTTCATGAAAATGGCTTACTTTTTGATAAAATTAAAAGTAAAAAAATTATACTGCTACCAAAAATTCAAGCCTAAATGTAATAGCACTTTCTACATTTTCAGGGTATAACTGAGCACCAACAAATTAGTTTTCTTTCTGACTTTGAAAATAGGAAGAATAGAAATAACTACAAAATGCAGTATTCCTTTTTTTACTCTCAAAGACCTTAACTACCCTCAGAAAGGATCAGTGATAGTGGCCCCGATCATCCCCAACTTCTCCAGTAGTTCCATACCACATACTTTCTTGTGTACTCTCATGAACTCCTTCAATCATTCAACGGCTGTGTACTTTCGAGTGCCTCACCAAATCGCAGTTACGAATAAAAGCTTTGCCACAAATCTCGCATTTGTGTGCCTTCTCCTGTCTATGTTTTTTCATGTGAACCCTCAACTCAGAGTTGCGCACGAAAGTCTTCGAGCACAACTCGCACTGAGGTTTCTCACCAGTATGAGACAGCATGTGCACGGTCATCCTCTGCTCGCTGATGTACTTGAAACAGACTTTACACTGAGGATGGTTGCTTTCGTGTTTCTTGAGATGCCACGTCAAATAAGTCTTTCGTGCAAAAGCTTTCGGGCACCAGTTGCACTTGAAAGGTTTTTCACCTGTATGCTTCCTCTCGTGCTCGATGAGATGCCTCTTGATGGAAAATACCCGCAAGCAAACGTTGCAAGTCAGAGATTCCAGTCCTTTGTGTTCTCTCGTGTGTATTCTAAGACTCTCCGCCGTCTTGAAGGTTTCCGAACAAATGCGACATGTTTTCACAGCTTCGTGTGTTTTCAAATGTGTCTTGAGATTACATGGTCGTGAAAAGGCTTTGGAACATATCTCGCATATGAAAGACTTTTCTTCCGAGTGGATTGTCTTATGTCTCTCCAAACTGGTATTACTAGCGAAAAGCTTCATGCATATATCGCATTGTTTCTCTTCTTTGGTATGCGATTTCATGTGCCACGCTAAGTTATTGTGGTGACTGAAAGACTTTCCGCATACTTCACATTCGGGTCTTTTTCTCGTGTGGCACTTCATGTGCTGCTTCAGATCACCCCGCAGAGGAAAAGTTTTAGAGCATATTTCACATGCTAGCAGCTTCTTTTGAATGTGCAAACTCTTGTGGGCCTTCAAATCTTCAAGTAGGTCAAACTTTCTGGGACACAAGTCACATGAAAACGGTTTTCCTTTGCATTTTGATTTTCTGTGTCTATTTAGAATATGCTTCTGAGTGAAAGTTTCCCCACATGTATCGCAAAGAAAAGGTCGCTCTGCAAGTCTGGGAAGGATTTGGAATGAACCCCGACGGAAATTTTCACCTAAATTCTGATGATGAGGTTGTTCAAGTTTCCATCTGAAATTCTCTTCATTGCTCATCTTGGCCCTCACTCTAGGTTCCTTCAGCATGTGCGCTCTATAATGTTGGAGGTATTCTTTTTTTCCAATGTAGAATTTTCCGCATTTGGGACAGAGAACAGGATTTTTGCCGAAATGAGAGCTGAGGTGGTTGTTTTTAGAGTGCAGCGTTTTAAATTCTGAAAAACAATGCCTTTTAGCACACAGTAAGGCCCAGTTTTCTATGTTCTTCAAAACGCTCTATAAATTATTACTGTTATTATAGGTTATTTCTATTGCCAATAGCAATGGCCAAACTAATGGGAATATATTTGAACAAGAATTGCCAATTGGTGCTGACAGTTTATATATTGGGAAAAAAATTCACTTTATTTTTTTCAACAGAACCTCATATATACCATTGTGTGGTAATATTCAAAACAATTGGATTTTTTTCTCAAAAACAACACAAATCCCAAGGATAGAACACTTGTTGGTCAAGATATTTTTCAGATTTTCTCCCATTTGCTATTTTCAGTAACAAAGTTCTTTCTATTTGAAAATAAAATGTATGCTGTATTTATTTCAGGGCCAGTTATTAGGTAGCATCATCTCTAAATCTGAAACAACTTTTGACATCTATTGGAAACACTTTCCCAATCCCAGAAAAGTAGTGACTATCAATGCGCGTTTCACTCACCAAGTTAGCGGGAGATGATGTAGGGAGGTGATTTTGAGAAACAGAAATACCTGAAATATTTTCAAATTACTTACTTTTTCTGCAGACCTCACATCTAATTTCGTTCCGACGCTTGTGAGAGAAAGACAACTTATCAGAATCTTCTTCCTCGATGTCGAAATCTTCACATTTAATTTCTTTTTTAATGGACTCTATATCAACGGGTTTACAGGAAACTTCTTCAGACTGTAATATATCATCCTCCGTTTTTTCCACTTTTATAGTTGGTTTAATTTCATCTGTCTCCATAAATGTGGAAGGATCAAAATTATTTTCTACGATATCCAAGGGTTCAGTTTTTATAGTTTCGTTGCTCTCAGCACCAGATTTCTCAACTATTATAATGGTATTTTCATCTTCTAGGTGAATTTTGAAGTCTTCATTGTTTATTAAAGCTTGACGAAGAATGGTATCATTCTTTTTCAACAAACTGATGAATTCAGAGATTTTTTCAAGTTTCTCAATGCATTTTGAACAAATAAGGCATCGTGTGTCACAAAAAATCTGAAAATATTTTTTTTTATTACATTTGGTAGTATTTTAATTTTGAAAATGAGCAGTTCAACTGTATAGTGAAATTCAGAAGCAAAAAAATTAAACTTGAAAAACTATATTGCACTTGATTTTGGAGTTTCTTGGTGAATGTTATATTAGACTTCCACTCAGCCATTGTATTCACCAGATTTGGCTCCATGCGAGTTTGTTCTGTTACCAAGATTGGAGAGACCCATGTCATATTTTGAACTTGAAAGTACCAGTCCAAAGATAGATCCTTGTGGAACCCCAAATATTACAGTTTTTCTTGGCCCCCTATCCTTTGTAATTATTCGTTTGTGACTGTAGAAGTATTTAATTTTTTTTAGACATTTCATGTTACATTTTTTCAATTTTACCTGTTTGATTTTTACTACACTTAAACTTCTTTGTCATCAAGAAGTTGATTTCTATTGATGATAAACAAACATAGACTATCTCTTTCTAAATAAAAATTTTGATCATACTCACATTTACATCTGTGAGGGATTGAAAAAGGACTAAACTGGATTCATCTTCAAATGGTACTAAATTCTGTAGATTAGCACAGATTCTGCAAACTCGAGTTGAATACAAGGACAGTGACTCAGGAGTTGAGGAAAATTGTGTTTTTGGTTTCTTGGCTTCATTGCCAATTTCAACATCAAATTCAAATGTCTGCTCTGCACCAGATTTTACCATAACTCCTTCAGTGCTTTTTGACTGTTCAATGAATGTCAAAATATCTATAAGAGTATTGATACATGAGTTACATACATTTCCTGGCAATTTTTTTTCCAGAGTTATCTGAAAAATAAAAGGTTGGCTTTGGTGCAGTAATTTTTACAACTTTTCATGAATTATAAAATTGGTGAATATAAATAATTAAAAAGTTGAACATTTTGCTTATACATTTTTTGAAAATATAAAGAATCTTATAACTATTATCCCAGAGCTGACAAATCTACATCATTTCAACAACGATAACTATTTGAACAACAATGTGCGTTTGCTACCTAGACAGGGGAGTACTATTACAGATATCAGGGGATATATTTTCAACATCCTTACTACATTCTTTGAACCTCCAGTTTCTCTGAATGGAAACTTGTTCAAGTTCTCATATTATCATCGCAATTTTTTAGTCATCAACATCTGATACAAAATGGAAAAAAAAATTCCAAATATAAGACTTTTGAAAATATGGTAGGCGCTTATCATATAAACATTAACTGAACTGAAATGACTTACATCATTTTTAGTTATGTGAAGAAACAAATTAAATAAACATTCTTCTCGTTCAAAGGATTTCAGATCATTTCGGCTAAAACAGATTCTACAAATAGATGTAAAATCAAAAACCAATACATTTGGCATCGCTTCAATGATATTCATCTTGAAATTTCATTGAAACATGACTTTTATGTGAATAATTAAAGTAAAAAAACTTTTCTCAAATTATATCTAAAATCCAAACAAGTAAAAATACAAACATTAGACTTCTTCTTTTCCTTCGTTGGCCTCAGCAACTACGGCTATCCGGCCAGTTGTTAACGAAGACTATTAGTAAATAAATTGGTTAGGACTTTCGCAGCCGATATTTTCAGTGTTACTATTTTCATTCGGGTTTGAAACCCGTGCGTCCTAAACGTTTTGCCAGCATGAGCGACTGGCTTCTTCAGAGGTTTATTAATCTTGACCATTCACTGATGACTTCATCGGTGGCAGCATTGCCTCGAGCAAGACCACTGCGCCCATAGACGAAGTTTCCGTCACTATGGTACGGAGAAGCCTGGCCAAATGCGATCGAATGTGAAGCACCGGCCATAGAAATTAGAGAGAGAGAGAGTTTCTACAAAACTGAAACCCTTTTTGAGATTTGTTTCTACGTAAACTTCGCGGAACTTTATATATTTGATATGGTTCTATCTATATTATGTACGAATTAAGTGCACTAGCTAATGAAGGCCAATTGTATTGACTGGCTAGTCATTTTTTTAAAATATAAGTAAAATGACTTTTATTGTATTCAAGGGGTTTCACAGCAGGTTCAGAATCTGCCTTTTATTTGATTAAATATACTGACTACATATAATTGAGAGCTTTGATCCAAGGTTAGAATTCTTCAAGGTTAGCATTAAATGATGACAGAAGTCAGGCATTGCCAAGACTTCCAGATACTTTGGCGCCTTGTAGTCAATGCATATGCCACTGAAGATATCTGCTGCAGTAGTAGACGAAACGTTGTGCCTACGTTCTTATATTGATGACATCCTTTAAATAAACTTTTTCATGAGATCAACGCCTTTGGTACAAATGAAGCCAGTTTTGTCAAGAGTTTGTTATACAATGATATTAATGACACTTTATTGTGAAAATTTCACATTGTTTAGAAAACTTCAATACGTTTCACTATATAATTGGCTGTATAATGAAATACGTTTCATTTTTTTAAAACTCAAATCACTGTAAGGTGTTTATGAGTAAGTTAAGTATACGGTACAAATGTTAGATCATTTATTACTCATGAAAAAATAATCACAGAATTTCAAGAATATCATCGAACAAATCTGTTGAATCTCTTCCTGACGGTAACCATAAACAATGACCGACAAAAAGCTGGTGCCTTTCAGTGGCAGAACAGTTGGTTCATATAGATAGTGCAGCTTTTATTGCGAACAAGTCAAGAAGCTAAGTGTGCAAAGTTAAACATATGCCAATAGAAAAAAGGAAAAATTGGTTTCCTTGACACGGGAACTCAATCACTTCTTCTTTATTCTTGGCGAAGTCGACTGAAAAACACTTGATGCAGACATCAAGTTTTCTATGTACTGACCGAGCACTTGATTTTCTGATCGTAGCTTCAAATTCTCTTCCTTCACACTGTCCACTCTTTGAGAAAGATCATCTAATGTGTTTTGAAGCTCGAGCACTTGGGATATCAGGCGGGCCTTTTCTTCTTGTTCGTCAGGACTAGAATCGGGTTCCAGACTATTGTGTTGCGGGCTGGAGCTCCCGTTGGTGAAACTTGACTGTATGGAATCCATACTTCTGCCACGCACTATACTAGAGGAATCCGACATGGAATTGGTTTCGGATTCGTCAACTATGATAACTGAAATGTTTAGATTGAAATTGTGATAATTGGAAATTAATTAATTACCTTGCGGATCATCGTCAGCTAGTGGAATATTATTATCTTCTTGTAGTTTTGTATTGGACATCGGTATTTCTATTATTGGTAATACCTCGCAGTGGCAGTGACAATAAAATCAAGTTAACATAAATCAAAAATTAGGAATGAAAACAATGTATATTTTTTTTTCGTGTCAACGATGAACTCATCAAAAACTAGCGCCTGGAGGCAAACATCCTCGTAAGCATGCATGCTTATTGACAACTCAAAATTAGAGAAGGTCATCACCACAAGATGGCGAAAGTGTTATCGTAAAATTCAGGGAAAATAAAAAAATCGGTTAGATGACTCTTCTGACATTTACATGGTAATGGTTATATTTCGGTCTCAAAAGTATCGACTGCAATGGTTAGTAGCCTCGTGTTTTGGGTGACGCATGTTAATATTACTTCTTGCACCATTTTAGAACATCATGGCTAATTGCGCTATACCGTCATCTATAGGTTAAGTTACCCAACTTCAACCAAAATAATTTTCTTGTGTCATGGGCAATTACGTGTACCTAGATATACTTTTTGTAATTTATTGTTTCAAGTGTACTCGATGATTCTTTGAAAAAGTAGATTCAGGTCTAAAGACAGCCATACAGCTTAGGCTGACGAGCTTTTTGACAGTTCTAGTATGGATTCCCCAGGGGAAAACATTTAGGGTATCTATTTCCTATTCTTTATGATGGGTGTTCTATTTTGTCACAATAACCCCTTCTTCTGGATGGGGAACAGCGAAATATAAGACATTTTGTTCATCAGGACACATTCTTTTGAACATGTACATTATAATTGCACAAAACATGTCAATTTTGAGTGAATAGTAGGGAACAAAAAAAAAAGATTTGCATATCTATCCATTCAGTTAATTTAATAACTAAGTGAAAAATCAAATTACAAAAATCAAATTCCGCTAACCTAAAGATAGAGCCCTTCTGGTGTACCCTCCTTCTTTCGGTAGAGAACACTTTCCTTTGATTTTTTAAAATCTTCATTCATAACTTTCATTCTACGCTCTCGCAAAGCCATCAATCCGGCTTCGGTACAAATTGCCTGGAACAGAAAAAATAGAGTTAACAAGTGAACTTATGATTCAAAACAAAATTTTCCCGAAGCGTTTTACCTTAATATCGGCTCCCGAGAGGTCATCTTTGGCCATAATGAGCTCGTGAAGATTCACATCTTCAGCCAAAGTCATTCTAGAAGTGTGAATATTGAAGATGCGTTTCTTAGTTTTCTCGTCGGGAAGAGGAAACTCAATCTTCCTATCAATACGACCGGGACGAATGAGAGCCGGATCCAAAGTTTCAATTCTGTTTGTTGCCATAATCACCTAGAAAACATAATCTATTATCACTTAATAGTTAAGTTATCCCACTCCTGAAACATTTTTTATCCCACTCCTGAATTCTATGACAACGCTATAGAAACACGAAAACTGATTGGTTGATTTGCATGATGATGTTAATTCAAAAAGATTAGGTACCTTAACGTCTCCCCTTGAATCAAAACCGTCCAGTTGATTGAGAAGCTCCAGCATTGTTCTCTGAATTTCACGTTCTCCTCCAGAATTAGAATCGTACCTCTTCGTACCCACGGCATCAATTTCATCGATGAACACTATGGAAGGTGCATGCTCCTCTGCTACCCTGAACAGCTCACGAACTAGTTTGGGACCATCACCCTTTGAAAACAAAAATGTTTACTTAAAAAAAAGTGGTTGTTTGATAAGAAAAACGAATATTTCAGAAAACAATTTCTCACTATGTATTTCATTCTATAATTGTCATATCATAATGAAAACATCTTGAATAGAAAGATGCTCACTGGAAAATGGGTTTTAATTAAAATAAATTACATATACAAATTGACGATTCTTGATGTCCAACAATATTTATCTAAAAGACTTTTGAGCGAGATGATTCATATCCTTTAACAAGATAGTATCGACGACCAATCTCTCTATATGTATTTTCAAATATACATTGATAACCTCCTTGAGAAAATTTTATACTTACCAAATATTTCTGAATAAGTTCTGATCCAACGACTCTCAAAAAAGTAGCGGAAGTTTGGTTGGCGACAGCCTTAGCCAGCAGGGTCTTTCCGGTTCCTGGGGGACCATACAAGATCACACCTTTTGGTGGTTTGATGCCCATCTCTTCGTAGTACTCGGGGTGGGTGAGAGGCAGTTCCACAGATTCCTTTATTTCCTGAATCTGGGTGTCCAGACCTCCGATATCAGCGTAAGTCTCTTGAGGAGCTTTCTCTAGTTTCATGACGGTCACCATGGGATCAGTGTCATCTCCTAGAACCCCTACAACTGCGTGTACCTGGAAAAGTGATAATACGTGCCAATGAATCGATATTAAGAAACTCTCAATCTCTTATATTAATAATAATTTTGTTCAGATGTTTTTTCAATTTTATTTCCTATAACAGGTCAAATGAAATCCGATTTTTCCTTCTAAATAGGTGGATTCGGGAAGGAATATGATTCCCAAAAGTAGTTGTTACAAAAGTATTTTTTTCTTACGTGTAATTCAATGTTTATATGAAAATAGTTATTTCAAGGGGACCAACAACCTTCGAGTCACTAAAGAACCCTGGATACATATCAATACACCGAGTACGTGCACTTGTGTGTTACAGATACTAAGTGTATATAGTATGTACTTCTTACAGCAGAAAAACAACAGAAAGAAACCTGATAGTAACCCTTTTCTTGATGACTTTATATGGTTTTCAAACTTCAATCCAACTACAAAGTACACTTATAGGTTAGAACAGCTTCTACTAGGGTTACCAAATTTCAAAAGTATATTCTTCAAATACGAAAGAATCTAATATTTTTAGCTTCAATAACACAGATATTCGTACCTTGTGGTTCAGCAGTACAGAACAGCCTGGCTCCAGCTGATCCTTATCGACAAAGGATAAAATACTGACATAGTGCTCGCTACCAACAGAGGTGGAAACGATAGCATGATTGTCATCGATGATCTCTTCCAGATTACCAACGGACATAGGTGTTCCTAGCAACACAAAAAATTATACAATTTATTACAAATGATCACTATTTTCCAGTAAATATACATTTTAACAACGCTAAGTTTTGAAAATGTTTTTATCAGAGTGAAAAGATGTCATTTTATGAGACTCTATTGTCAAGTCTCAAGTCACCTTATCTCCAAAAGTGGAGCAGTGTCAAGTTTTGACTTCAGATTCATGATTGACAGACGAATGAGCAAACTAGCGCGAGCTGTAAAAACAAATATTTGCCTTATTTTCCAATGTTACCTCTAAGGTCATCCACTTTGGACCTCTCCTCCTCATTCTTCTCTTCCTGCGGCTTCAGTCTTTCTTGGTTACGGATGAACTCTTCCTCCATGAGTAGGTAATCCTTGATTCGCTCAAGTTTCAACAATTTCAACCTGCATCGCGTATGAGGCGTAACAGCCGGTAGTTTCAAGGCAGTGTCTGGTCCTTTTGTACGGCGCTTCTTCTTTCCCACACGAGTCGGGATCGGTGGTTCATATTTCTTTTTCTTATCTTTCTCTTCCTTCTTGTCGCTACCTCCCGCACCCGACTGACTTTGTCCCTGTGAAAAATATACATGAAAAGGTTGACAATGGAAAAGAACTTGATGTATACTTACCATTTTGTATCAACTGTTGACCCTTTGTTGGAAATGTTTTTCTAAAATTTACCAGTCATCTGCACAGATTACCGAATGTCACTTGTCAACAAAACATATGTCAAAACTGTCAAATGTGATTTCCATACTGCCAATTGCAAAGCTGCCTACATAGAACACAATTTAGAGCTAGCCCCAACTATATATATATATTAAATTGTATACTTAGATAATATCTATGGAGGTGGATAAAAGTGGTTGCAGATGTTTCAGTCGGTTTCAAACGTTTCATCTAAGATGCCTATTCATTGGTGTAGCATCCCACAAGTATAGAATTTTCATGAAAATCTGTCTTTCAATATGGCTCTCTTGATTTCATTCACACGGGCAGCTTTGAAAAGAAGGCTGATATCGCTATTATCGCTGTTTCTGTGACGGTACAGTGTTTCGTATTCTACAACGTGATGATATACATTGAGAAGTAGAGGTGAATGTGACACTGATGTATTATTTTAGGTTAGGTTTATGTTATTATGTATGCAAATGCATGAAACATTCCAGATTTTTTTGTATTACTTTCGTGAATCCATAAGAATCTAGAGTCATTAACATTATTCATCATCAAGTTTGATGTTGTGAAGGGTACATTATGAACAAGTTTTATTTGTATGTAATATTCGATGCGTTTCATTCGCATAGCGCATATTCGAATATTTTTTGACTAGAATGACTCGATTTAGAATGAGAATGACGAAAGTGACTCCAGAATTATGTTTAATATTTTGAGGAATCAAACGATCCTTTTATTCTTTAATGCTAAGAATTGCACGTTAGAAGGTATATCCATATAAAAACAACTCACTGATACAGTTTATTGTATGGTATTTGCGACACGTGTTTCGCTATACAATAGTTTCCTCAAGCGGTAATATTACTTGTGTGGAAATTGTTATTATCGTCAATATTATTGTTGACGTTCATTTGACAGTCAAGATTATTCGAATGATTCCGGTCGAACACAAAAAAAATCACTTGTATTCGAAAATGTTTCTTGGTTAAATGGTTTAGTATTTTGATCATATATGCCAACAGATATATCTGGTGCATATGAAGTTATTGTATATTTTAAAACATTGTATTTCTTTTCAGACATTCATTACATATATCACATCAATTCGGAGTCCTTCACATTTGAATCACAGTAAATCCGCTGAATCATCGCTGATAATTGCCGATTTTGATGAGGATTTTATTGAAAATTATAAAAATTGATTCGATTCTAGAGTCGACTTTCTGCTATCGTTAAATATTACCCAAAAATAGTTAGGTTTACCACGATTCAACCACTCTCTATTTCTTACCATCTACGAGATTTTCATGTCTCAACTCGAATTTGAATAGTCTTGTATGACATTTAAAAAAGTCCTTGATTCCAATTTGGCAACATGAAAAACTCAAGTGTCACTATTTTTATTCAGGTTTGGAGGCCGTCCATTTTTGGAATATCTTCCTGACGTTTCGCTGGCACGAGTGGCTAGCTTCTTCAAAGGTTTGTACATCCTGAGTTTATCTGCGACGACTAGGTATTACGGCTGCGTAAAGCGTATTTGTGTCGATTCAGCTAGTTTGGTGTACTAATTACTGTACCTGGAATAGGCAAATTGTCAAGTACATTCGTTGACCCTTTTCTACCCGCCATTATGATGTATGCTGTTCTTGAACTTCTTAGACTGGGATTTCATATCCGGTTAAGTTTCGCAGCTTCTTCTCTTCTGTTGAAATTATCCGTGTGTTTGTGAATTTCTATTGCCCGTGGTTTGAGGCAATGAGTTTTGTGTTTTCGAACAGAATCCTGTGATGAATATTACGTTTTTCTTCCAATAGTAGACTTATCTTCTGAAGACAATTTGTCTTGTTCCCATGGATCTTGTGGTGGTTCCCATGTATACTTTACTATAAGTGCACGGTATGCGATATACCCCTGCCGCTGATAGTGGTTCTCTTTAGTCTTTAGCCAATCTGAGGCTTCGCTGTATATTCCTGGTGGGTTTGAGAACCGTTTTGAAGTTGTGTTTCCCCAAGAGTTCTTCAATCCTGTCTGTTACCCAAGGAATAAAGGGTAGAATAGAGCTGAGCCTACTCTCCGTTTTGAACCGTGAAACTGTTCAGTGTCACGGCCTTGTTTGTCTCGAGCACAGTGTATCCATTCTATCTCGAGGTCACTTGAAGATGTTCCAGTTCATTCCTCTAGATCCTCGGTTCACATATCCTTCGAGTCCGTGGAGTTAAAGTAGGGATGACCCTCCTTTTTTTGACTAGGATGATGGTTTGATAGTGCGTGGGTTTTTGGTACACTTTGTGGGGTAGTCTAACACCACATCTTTCGCTGAGTACATTCAAGAATGCTATCCGCTGGTTCTGTTCAGTCTCCTGTTCGACGATATCACTTGTAAACAAGTAGGGTAGCTCCCTCAGAGAGTCTTCTAGTGGGACGTTGGCAAACAAGGACCCAATATCGAAGCTGACCAAAATATCTGTCAGCTCAAGAGTTGAGTCCCTAATTTCACCAACGAAGTCTGTCGAATTCTCAACGTAGGAGTTCCTCTTTCCCACATGAGGCTGGAGGAGCGAGGCCAGATGCTTCGCCAGGTAGTAGGTCGGCGAGCCTGCGGCACTGAATATCAATGAAAAACTAAGTTCTTGTCTACTAAAATATTCCTCGAAGTTCGCATATCTCCGGAATGCGCCACGGCATGTAAATATCTATGCAGAATGCACAATAATGTAAATAGAAAACTTGTTATTTCCCCAAATATTGACATTTCCTCGGGCGGAAATGAAAATTCGCCGTAATGAAGTTGCCGGTGATGGAAATTCCTGCCTGATTTCGACTCGGATGCAGGACAACGTGACGAGAAGAACGCATGTCCATAAAGTATATAAACCATATCCTTGTTACGGTTTGCGGGGTAGTCAGAGTGTCGCGTATTTTGGGAATATCAGAAACCTTCCTGGAGTCAACAATTATTTTTTGCCACCGTTTTGTAGCTACATAACCTAATAAAGATTTATTCAATTCGATAATATCTCACATCAAGTTCTACTTGTCAAATTCGAGTACCCTGGTGTGAGAAAGGTGGTGAAGGCATTTTGCAAATCTCACCTCACAGGACTTAGTCAAAAAGTTTATTCGAACTTGGTACCATCCTCATTTTTAAATATGTAACGCTTTTGTCTGTTCTGGGCTCACTTCTGTTTATTTTATATTCAAATGGCACATCTGACCACCTTAGTGGACTTTCATATGTCCCCTATAATTGAAAAGTGATGAATTGTCAACTGTTTCTCATGGGAGAATTAGAGACAATAATCAGCACAGACGCACTTATGATCCTCAATTTATCTTTAGTGAATATTACTGGAGTTTTTTCCCAACACCAAATCGTTATTTTTAACACCTCGACACGTGTTTCGATCACCAAGTGATCATCTTCAAAGAGGAAGATTAAAACCAGAAACGCTAGCTAACCCTATTTATGCTATAAAGGTAACCCATACCAGGTAAACCATCCAGGCGTACCAACCATACAGGTATACCAACCTAAATTAATTTTACAATTTTGCCATTTCTATTATTTTACAATATATGTTTATATAAAACAATTTTCAGCTATATAAAAATTAATTTCACAATATTGCCTATCCAAATTTATTTTTGCAATGTGTCCTTATGTAGTAATCAGTAAACCCAACAACATTATTTTATTTTATTTTATTTTAACAAGATATATAGTATGCTCTTTGGTATAGGTCCGTCAACGTTATTCATAATATTATTGTGTTTACTTATTTCTACCCTCTCATAGGCATCTAGTTGCCTGTTGTTGTTAACTTGTCTAACTAATCTTAATGAACTGAAGTCTATGGAATGGTTTTGTTGCAAAATATGATGGGCGACTGCTGATTTTTCAGGTCTTCCAAATTTTAAGTGTGCTATGTGTTCCTTATATCTTACTTCAATAGATCTTTTTGTCTGTCCATAATATTTTGCATCGCAGTCCTTACATTCAATTTCGTAAATTCCAGACTTTTGCGAATTCTCAACTTTGTCTTTTGGACTTTCCAAAAGGCTCTGTAGTGTATGCCTTGTTTGAAAAACCACCTTCATACCTAGTTCTTCGAAAATCTTTCCAAAGTTCCTCGTATATTGGTGGTATGGAACTGAGATGTATTTATCTTGGTTTTTATCGTTCCTGAAAGTCTTCCTTAAGAAAGAATTTTTTTTGTTTGTATTTTTCAATTCTCAGCTTTTATTAATATTTCAAATTTTTATTTTCTGGTTGTAGCTTGTATGTTATTTCCTTGTAATTTCAGTTTTTTGTTTTAATAAAAGTGTTATTTTCGGCAAATCTTTTATTTTTTTCAGGGATTTCAAATCGATTTATATTATATCAGACAATGGAAGTCCGAACTAATGAAATACATGACAGTTTCTTCAATATTCATTTTCAGCGTCTGTCACAGATCTACAAAAATTACCTCACTTCTCCAATGTATAATTCAAATTACAATCATATCACCAGACATAAAGATTTCCTACTAAATGAGAGGATTAGGAATGTCAACAAGAAAACAGTTGCATTTTGTTGGTTGCTTTTTATATATTGATGATTTTATCGATTTCTCTGCAAAATATAGAGATGTTATACAAATAACCTAAATAATAATGTCACAACTCAGTATTCGCTTTGCTTATTACGAGATGATTTATTGCTGTTTCACCCAACCTTATTCATCCAAATAATAATAGAAATCATTTAAAAAACTCAATAAAATATTTATTATGAAAAAAAAAAACGGAAAAATATGCTCAGGAATGAGCTCCGTCACGCTGGAACCCGCTTTGAAGAAAAACAACTTTTTTTTAGCCTACTTTACCTACAAACGATACTAATAAATGTAGTAATGTTAGGAATCACACGTTAAAAGGTAAGATCACGTTAGTCCTTAGCTCGCACAAATTTCTCAACTTCTGAGAGTTGTCGTTTGTATGGGGACAGCAGCTGATTAACGGAAAAACAGATTTTAAACAGATTTTTTTTTCATTTTTTTTTGTAGTCTTTTCGGTTAC